AAAAGCGGATTTAATGGATTGAAAGTCTGCATGCATCGACCAATCGCTTTTAAAGGATGAGTTTGGCTCGGATTTTTCCGACTGATAAATAGTTTCACACAAAAGCCATTTGGTAAACCTTTAGCAGATAAAAGTAACTTTTTTTCAACGAAATTATAAAGAATATGAGCACAAAGTTTCAGACAAAATCGCCAACTTATAGTTCTTTAATAAGATAACAGAAATTTTTTTATTTTGAATTTTTATAAATTTTTGTAAGTTCTAAGCTAAAGTATTGAGAAATTTGGTGAGCTTTGTTAAATGATTCTGCACCAACAAACCACTAGAGATGGCGAAATGCTGAAACAGACATGACGCCAATGAGAATAAGCAATCGGGGTGATAAGACATGATCCAGTCACAAAAAAATTAATTTTGTCCTCTCTAAGCAGAGACATATTACATGTTTAGCAGATTGTTGTAGACAATGGAAAATAAAGATAAATGAAAGCAACTGCATCCTCAGATCAGTTATAAATACACCGTAAATGCTACCATCCACAATTTAAAATTTCATTTATCCAAAAATTAATCAAGTTTCATCACTTTTATTAGCGAAGTGAAATGTAATTATTGATTACTTGCTCCTCTCAATAATATATAAATAATTTTATATATGCATATTACATATAATAAATAGTTTTATATATGCAAATTACATGTAATTAGAAACTGCAGGTTGTAATAAAATATTATATTTTAAAAAATTGTCTAAAGTTAAAGTATACCAATCACTAAATGAACTTCATCATTAAAGATTAATACTTCCTCACTCCTGTTTATTTCATACAATACAATTTGATGGTTGTATTGAAAATAGAATAAACTGCTAAAATGATGTCAGTTAGATGAGCAACGGCTCCATTTCATGATAAAGAAAAAACGTGATAAGGAAACCAGAAATGTGCCAGGCAAGGTATATAAGTACAGCGTAAATGAGATAATTATTCCGCAAAGTGTGGCCCTATTTATGATGTCAGTAATTTGAACATTCCGGTGTATTGTTTTAACGTTGAAATTAATTAATTTTGAAAAGCCTTTATTTTCTTAAGCACGGATTGATGATAACTGTTCACTTTTAACGAATATCAGATTGTGAATCATAATTGTATGTCTGTTGACAAAATTTTATACTTGAAAACACACCGCAAAAAAAAAAAGAATAATAATAATACCATCTTTTCTGCAATGAGCTTATTTTATTTTAAATAATTCAGTTTAGGAGTTTTGCAGAGAAGGATAAATTAAGCAACAGCACTACCCGTTAACATGAAATATTATGCACTTTAAAATTTTATGTATAAACGTTATCATCAAACAAACTAAAATTTTACAAAAACATTAATATAAATTAATTCCTCTTGTATAATTTCACTTTCAAATCTGAATTTGTATAAATATTTTAAATGTGTTCAAAATCAAAGATAATAAAATAAATTTTTCCACCATTATGATTGGAGGGAAAATATTGCTTTTTTAGTTTATTTATTTTTGTTTGTAATTAGTATTATTAGTACTTCCAATATTTTATTCATTACTTTAATGAGTAAAAGAGTAAGTGTACAAAATTATAAGCATTAAAAATTTTTAAAAAAATTAAACCACCAAATTGAAATTGCAAAAAGTTTTAAAATATTGCAATTTAAGTTTAAACAGTCAATAGTTTGTAAATAAAAAATTATTATAATAATAGACATACCTGGCGAGCTAACAATGATTTTATCTATCATCGACAAAGAAAAGTCATAAACAGTTTCGAGCAAGCTAAGCATAACAGAATCGTTGCCCAAACAGACAATGCGTCTGCACAGAGGCCGAATCAATGTCAACTGAAAAGTGGGGGGCCAGAAAGAGTTACAATTGTACAATTATCAAAGAGAGCAACAGTTGAGTGACCAGCATGATAGCCCAGTAGTTGTGACTGCATCAATAGACTACCTTTCAGTATCCCCCCCTTACCAGATGTACAAGTCAGCATTATCTCTGCTCCTTCCTACCACATGACAATTTTTCTTTTCCATGGTCAATTTAGACTATGAACCGAAAAGTCGTGTCAAATTAAAGCATTTCGTTTCTGTAAAATATTTGCAGAAAGAAATTTCCACCCGTTACTTTTTGAATTACATTTTCCAATTGATTAATTACATTGTTAAAAGCTGTATTTGTGTAAATGAAAATTTGAATAAATCATCAGTGTATTAACTTTTTTGCAATTTTGTCTCAGTAAATTTTATTATTTATGCCAATTAGTAAAAATTTAGGGGGCAATTTTACCATTATTTCTGTTGATTTGGACAGAAACAATAATTGTATATATTAGTAAAACAAAAACAATATGAATCATATTATCATTTCTTCTGAGATATTTTGAATTCTGCAAGTATAAGCAACCAGTAGCTAGATCATATCTGATCATTCAGTTCTGCTTATACTAATGTTCAAACCAGCAGATACAAAAGATACAAAAACATTTTACATGGTGGAGAAAGGAAAACCAACCATAACTTTTTTTAATTATTCAGAAATCATGAGCTGCGGTCTGGAATCTCACAATTTCTGAATAATTATCGATTAACTGTCACTAATCACCAACTTTTTTTTAATCCTACATTTTTGGCTCATTGGCCCATTCTTACCAACTCCAATGATTCATTCCCCAATTCTAGTCTCTGTACAACAGATTTTAAATACACCGGAACTTTGGGCTAGACGGAAGTAAATAATCCTGGCTAATGAACATCCTGGTATGCTTATTCTCATGCTGAAACCAGCAATGATCGAAGCCACACAAAACTTTTGACCAACAATACACAAGGAAATAGTATTACGATGATACATAGGCTCATAAAGTTTGATTAACAAATTGGCAGTAATTTTTAAAATTGTGAATCTTAAATTTTTGTGGTAAAGGGGTGTCGATGGTTGCACTGGTTGTCATTGACGTGGTGCTCATCACTTAGACTATTGTAAATTCACACAGAGCAGTTTTTGTCGACTCGACGGATCGTTCTATTAGTTCAAAGCAGGGTGTACACAGGACACTGCAAGCTCTCTAGGTCTGCTTTTCTGTTGAAACCTGTCGGCTCAACTCATGGTTTCACCAATGGCAAGCAAGTGACACAAATGTTTCGACTCATAAATCAATATGGGGTGTTTAGTGACCGTTAGTCAATGATTATTCGGAGATCATGAGATGTGGTCTGGTGTAACATAGGTTTTAGAAAAACATTTTCTTTATCATACAAACGTTTTGATCTTTATTGAGATCATCTTCAGGGCCTGGGATTTATAAACATTGTTTAAATTTTACAAATACATGTAAGATGTTAAAAAAATGAATTTATACAATGCTTAGAAAATTAGATTAAAAAATAAATAAATAAAAAGAATTTATACAATGCTAGAAAATTTTTGATTTAAAAAATAAACAAAATGAATTTATACAATGCTAGAACATTTTATATTAAAAAAATGAATACAATGCTAGAAAATTTTAGAATAAAAAAAATGAATCTATACTTTTTTCCTAAAATTTTCTAGCATTGCATAAATTCATTTTTTTAATCTAAAATTTTCTAGCATCGTATAAATTATTTTTTTATAAATCTAAAATTTTCTAGCATGGTATAAATTCCCTTTTTTTCACATCCTACATTTGTAAAATTTAAACAATGTTTATAAATCCCAGGCCCTGAAGATAGTCTTAATAAAGATTGAAACTGAAACGTTGGCACGATAAAGAAAATGTTTTTCTAAAGCCTACATCACACCATACCGCACCACACGATCTCCGAATAATAATAAATCAATGTTTTACGGTAGTGTTGATCAGAGTATTGCTCTCTGTTCACACAACGCAGCGGCCTGTCAAGCTTTGTGTAAGTGATTTAGAGTTCTATTTTTGTTCTTTTAAATTAAATTTTGTTAACTGTACTGCATAAAAAAAGTGATGAAACTCTCATGCAGTCCGTCAAAGAAAGGCCATCAGTTTGAGACATGATAAATTCCACAGAAATTCTGCGTTAAGAAGCTTGAAAAAAGATATTATGGACATTCTTGTTAAATTAAAAAAATTCTTTTCATCCTCCTTTAATTGGGGCTCCATTTAAGAAAACATCTATATAGCATGGGTCTATTCAACGATGATCACATTTGCAGATTATGCAATGGGGAGGAACAGCCGCTCATCTTCAAATGCGAAGCAACGGCTCAATGAAGGTATAACTTAGTATTAAAAAATAAAACAATTAATAAAATAAAATAAAAAGCCGGGAATGAAATCGTAGCAGCAGCAGTCAATGACTTAATCCTTCTGAGAAGAAGGATTGAATCGATGGCACTGAACTAGGTAACTAGGAAGGTACAATAAGCTAGAAGGCTGCAGTGCCTGGGAAGCACAAACCCCTTCTTCCTAACATCCATTGCTATCATCAAGTGTGAACATTTTGCCCAGTGTCAATTCAATGGTTGAGAGTGAACTAACCTTAAGGTAAAGATCCAAGTTTTGAATCTAGTGGTCCTGAATTTTTGTACCTGGTTTGCATGAACAAAAAACCACCTAGCTTGAGCTCCTTAGTCATTTCATACACACAGGAGGGCTTAACATCAATAACACAACGGATGAGAGGTCAAACTATACTTTTATGTTATTCTCAGTATTCTAGGTATTCTAACCCAATGGCATCATTAGGCATTTCCAATAATTTGTCTATCCAAACTGTTTCCCTCTATCAGACGCATTTCAGCTTCTCAATATCTTCAAAAGGATCAGAAAAGACCAAATATCATGGTCCTTCAACCAATTTTCATCACCCGACGGACCACAAGAGGAAATTTAACAAATTACCTCCCTTTTGAGTAATATAAATACAACATAATGCAATAAGTTACTGTCAACTATATCATTAAAATTTTTAAGAAAACTAAAAAAATTAAACATAAACATAAATTGAAGTTCCTACCGTGAATGGTGAGCTCCGTGTCTTTGTTTATTTCATAAAGCCGGATGGCCTCGTCCAACTCCATTTGTGTCGAGATAATGCAAGGATCACCTAGAGGAAAACAAGTCGTCATTTTCAATCCATAATGATTTTTTTTTAAATATTTCCTTACCATCTTCATCCACCCATTTCATTGTGAAAACCTGTTCCTGATTAAAGCGGCATATATCGCGCATTTCTTGGCAAAGCTGATCTAGTGTTACATGAGGATCTATGTATGTAATCATAATCTCCCTAAAATGATATAGTTAGATAATAAATTATTATATAATAAAAATTATAAATTCAATGTAAGGCAAAATCAGCAGTACTCACCCATTGTATGCGGTTTTAACGCGAATTTCTGGAATTTCTACATCTGACGCAAGTTGGGTAGGCATGATTAGTTTGTTAAAAAATCTTTTGCTCTTTCTAATTCTACGCTTATAAAACCTAGTCACTACAATGTACACCTCCCAAAGGCAATCCAACGTGAAGATAAGAGAAGTCTTGTTTATCAAAACTCCATTAAAACCTGAAAAATAGCCAATAAAAGAAAACTATAAAACCTATTTTATATGTGTTGAGCAGAATGTATAAATTTAGAAATGAAAAAACAAATTCATTTTTATTGTTGTCAAACAAAATTTTGTTCTTTAATCATAAGTTTATCTACTACATATTCTACACTTGAACTGATGAAATCAGAATCCCCTCTTAAGTACTAAAAAGATAAATATTAAGCAATATTTATATTTGAACCTGAAATTCATCAATGTGCAGATTTTAAAAAATAAAATATATAACAGACATCATCGCTCAGTTTTCCTGTCAAAAATATACTTTATTACAGTTTTGGCACTTCATCAAGAAACTATGAGCCATTGTTTTGCCTAAAAATTTATTTTACCAGCTTTTATTGTTTTTATTTATTTATTTTCTTAGGTAGAAAGTTTTGGGGGACCGCGGTAGCCGAGTGGTTAGCATGAGAGACTCTCACGCTGCGGTCGTGGGTTCGATTCCCACCGTCGCCTCTGGTCCTTTTTTCCCGATAACCCCCAATTTGAACAACATATATAAGAATTCGTCATGGCTAATATCAAAGATCATAAGGCAAAAAAAAAATTAAAAAAATAATAAAAAAAAATAAAAAAGTAGAAAGTTTATTGAATTATTTGAAAAAATTTATTAATAATTATTAAACTTTAGTTAGTTACCGTCATGTTAAGGCCATAGACCATTCAATTGCCATCTTGGAAAAAAAAAAAAGGAAAACTGAGATAGAAATTAGCCGACTCATTATTAAGTCTCTGTGGAAAGGAAATACTTAGCGAAGTAAACAAAGAAGAAATCCAGAAAATTCTAAACAACCATAATGGTAGTGCACTTTGGGGGATTTGGAAATAAACACGAGTCAACTCCACAATAGAACTTTTAGGTAATACTGACTTTCATGTGAAACGAAGACTATAATCACCAGAGCCCCGGTAGACAAAGAAAAAAAGGTGTAAATGAATTGTGCAGCCAAAAGAAATATGAAATTTAAATTTCAACACATTTTCTTCAAATTTCTAAAATACTGATTGAACTTGTAATATTCACAGAGTATTTCTGAGCGCAAAAGGATCATATTTAGAAAAATACGTTGAGTACACAAAGATGATTCATATTTTCTTGAAAAGAGGTCAAAAATTTGCACCGGATTACTTAGAGAATTGCTTTTTCAAACTGGCTCTTCCTCAAACTCACAAATCCTTCATTTAAGTGTCAACATATGAAATTGTACCTTTTCATATAAGTTATATACTCTGAAATTCTTAACGTTCATTATTTATAAATTAATATTTTGACCACAGAAGATTGTGATTAGTTTTTTTTTTAATCACATAATTGGCAATTTTGAACAGAGTAATTTAGTCCAATGGAAAAAAATATAATAAAAATATTCATTTTTACACCATTAAACATAAATATTTGTTCAAAAATCAAACAATAATTTTGAAATGTATTTAAAATATTTTTAAACTTGTCTCCCAGAGCGTACCAAACCATGTCAGAATATTTAAATTTTATGTTTTTTCCAAACAATTAATACATTCCCCCATGTACAAAATAGAAATGATTACGTGAAAAAATTAAAATGAAAAATGATGAAAAAATTAAATGAAATGGTTCTACTACTGTCTTTACACTTTAAAGTGTTAGATGTACTGATTGACCACTTATCTATCAAGAACTCTTGGTATGGTATGGATAAAAAAAATAAATTCAACTGTTATCTCCAAACTTTCGACATATTTTAAGGTCATCATCATGGCAAAATAATCTTAAATATTTCTACAAATTGATGTAACTAATAAACGATTTCAAATTTCAATGAAGACAATTTGTCTAGATTTTCAAAGAAATTTGAAACCATTTATTAAAAACTCAATTATGTCATTGTAGACATCTTTAAGATTGTTTTACCCTGATGATGACCTTAAAATAGGTCAAAAGCACGGCAGATAACAAGTTTTATCTTTTTTCTTTTTTAATCTTGTTTTTTTTCATCCAGACCATCGAGTTCCAGAGTATTCATGACATATACACTTTGCAGTTTCTTGAAGAAGTGAATACACATAGAGCAAGAATAATTCAATCAGGATGATCGAAAATTACCAAATTATGGGGATGTCAACTACATTATCTCGCTAGCTTCAACAAATAACAAAAAATATTCCAATAAAGTAAAGTTAACACAAATATTGAAGTACGAATGAATGGCCTTGCTTCTTTTAAATATTTTAAAGAAGATTTGGACTCTTGAACTCAGCAACACAAGACCCAACTACAGTAAAAAATAAATGTCGGACTATAGTTAATATTTAATTATTTGAAGATGATATATATTTACAATCAGCATTTCAGCAAGTTTATATAGAATATTTTTATTTTCCCTCTACTCTTTATTATTTTTCTTTCTCTACTTCCTTGAAGTCAAAGGAAATTTGAATTTTCATACTTTCTTTTTTAGATGGGCTTGTAATATTTATGGAAATTAGTTTTGTCATGTAAAGGTAAATTTATATGCTTACATATTGAGAATACAAAGAAAGAACCACAGCAGCAATTTAGAATTTTAAATACCTCTGTATTCTCTCTATATCCGCATATATACATACCAATCGTAATCAAGGGTAATGAGAACTGCGGATAATAAGAGACGCCTCAAATTTGACATTTCGAAGCATTTTCTTCTATCTACTATTTTTTTTTCTATCTTGTTTGCCTATCGTCAATTATGTACACATATTTCAGGTTCCTTTCAATAAGAAAAATACAATGTATAACAAACATAAAGTTTATCCCATGCAGGATATGTACATACATCAACAGGATTGTACCTATCTACAACACAAAAATAAATTGTAAAAAAATTGTTAGTGGACTGAAAAAAAGATAAATTCCACAGTTGAAGATGGTTATGAAACAGGAAAATTTGCTCGTTCAGCTTTCTCAAAGAATATTGTTATAGGAGGATGCTTTGTTGGTTTTGCAACTGCTAGAAATTTTGTTGGAGAGGGTTCATTACTTGAGTTAGCAGTGGTGTTATGATGTTTCGTTCCCCTATTGGATCATATTGTGAATTTTAAACTCTATTTGACATGAAATGAAACCACTTAACTTTCTGGATTTATTTACTTTACTGAAAACCCTGGATAAGACATTAATTATATCAACAGTAATTATATTGTATCTCAAAATTAAAAAGATGAAAATTATGAATTTAATTAAATGCTTGTAATGTTAAATTTCTCTCAGACCAAACAACGGTTAGCAGTTTCTTCAATGTCATAAAAGCACAAGTTGCAAGAGTCCAAGCCGACCGTAAAATCTCACTACTATATTAATGTAATTTGATAGCAATTATTCAACAAAATGTAAATTGTGAAATTAAGTGAATTATGTGAAAATAACACTAATAATTTATTATATTATTGATTCGAAAACAGAAATTAAAATTATGAAAACTATAATAGATACTTCAAGAATTTATCCTTTTAGCAATTTTGTGATTGTACGTAAGTCTTTTGAAAGATGCGACAAGTTCGATTAAGCATAAGGTTTTACAGGAAAGTATTCAACGTGTTTAAATTCTTCTGAAAGCGATCAGTATTTCAGTTTCGGAGTGGAATTGTTTGAAGTTTGTATCAAGTTAAGTTGTGTCAATCCAAATTAGATAAAAGTTTTATTAGACTGGTCATTTTAAACTGTTCATTATAAACAAAAAGGTAAGAATAAACATAAGTCCCTGAAGCATTGGAAAAGTTATGTATGCAATGTTTATTCTAGAGAGAAAATACAAAATCAACTAATGATTCTTTAAAATAGCCGTATTGTTTCAAAATCCATTTGTGCTGAGGATAACAGCAATAAAAAAACAACTTAACACCACACTCGCATTCAAGCCCACTATTTTTAAATTAGACACAAAAACCACAAATACAAGAAATTCTATAGCCATAAATTTCAATAAAAATCGATAACAAAAAAATAATACAAAAACCTAACACTGAGAATGGTGAGAATCACTGACCAAAACAGCGAGGACAAGCGGAGCAAAATGATCAGAAGCCCAAACGACAGAAGCAGATTTTATTAAATGGACAACATCCACAGACATACAAGAAGCCTCATAAGCTAAACAATATATGGGGTTGTAAAATAAACTTGTAATGTTTTTTTAATTTGTAAATTCAATAAAAATATACAGTATTTGTAAACAAATTTAATCAAGAATAAACTATTTTGTTACACTATCTTTGCCATTGTCCATGTAATTTTGTAATTCCCAGGTTTTTGAGCAATTAACTCCTCGATGTGTTATAAGCAGTCCTTATGTGAAGTGAAGCTTTTCCTATTAACAGAGTTTTGCAGAACTCAGAATAATTTAAAATTTGAAAGCACAATGTTAGGCAAATATAGTGGGGTAGCATATCCCAGCCAAGCTCCAATTTCTGGCGAGTCTATAAAGACAGGTAGGGGCGAGCGTTATCCTGGTAAAAAAAAAAAAGGAGATTAGCCAATGATGGTTGTTTTTGTCAATGGCTGACACTGATCACTCAGAATACAGTTCACACTATAATTAACCGTTTAGTTCAGAAGAAGTACTATGGGCTAAGCTAAAATAGGGTCATTAACATTAATTACATTTTAGGAGGGAATCACAGATAGATATGATTCTATAAATTCTTCTCGATCAATATGTAAACAACAAACATATCCAGCTGTTCTCAAAGACGTTAAAATACTTGTACGAGATATTTTAAGTGTCTCTGTAATGCCTCATGTCATTGAGTGTGTGTTATTTAAGACAAAACTTTGGTTCTGTCAAAAATTTTGACAAATTTGGTTATTATCAATAATTGTAGGGCATCTTCCAAATCGAAATGTCCACTAATGGGTGTGCTTTCTCCCAAAATGTCATCACCATATACAGCCTGAGCAATATTTTTTCTCTTTGTAATAAAAATACAATTAAATGTTGAAAATGTGCTATTTTTACTTACATATTATGTTAGGAAAACACCTTGTAAAAAGACATTCCAACGAAACTGACAAATAAAAAAAGGCTTAACTAGCCCTTTTTCAGATTGTGTAAACAATAATGATTAATTCAATATACAAAATACAAAATAAATAAAATTGAATTACTGAAAAACTAAGGAGTTATTTTACAACTCAATAGACCCCTTCACTCTACTGTCTAGTAGGAGTTAGTAGTAGTCGAGTAGTTGACCCTATATCTTCCATCTAACCTAGAAAATAAGCATTGTTGCTCAGTAATTTTTTTTTTTTTTTTTTTTTTTTTTGTGCCCCCAAGGTTAAAATTGGCGGATCAGAGCTCATCAAGGCCGGCGTCCCCAAGGGAGTATCAGGGACAATACCTACACCATAACACCCTGACTTTTTTGACACCGCAATCTTCTCACATTCTGACCCAACCTTGTAGCAAAAGCAACCCATGATCACGTAGACCTCCTTACTCAGTGGCGCATTAAGCTAAATGAACAAAAGAGCTGGCATGCAATGTACACACTTAGAAAAACCATCCCACCAAGGCACATACCTTTGGTTCTATATGGACAGCAAATTTACATGGAACATATACATAAAATAAACAAAAAAAAACAAGAAATGAATCCACAATAAACTAACAGGGGGGCAAATAAACACAGCGCTCATCACTGTAAGTTAAAGGTCCCGAATAAATGGCCCTGCATTTGAACCTGACATACTTATAAATGGGCTAGTTTTTTAAACACTTTAATGATTATTTAGAATTTTTTTCTTTTTTGCCTGTATTTAAAAGTCACCTTGAGTTAGTGACCCAACTGTGGACAAGGTGCAATACCTTCGACACAAGGTCACAAGGTACTTTGACTAACGCCTCAGACTAAATCTCACACACGACTGAAACGTCAGAAGGGCACGATACACAACTCTTGCTCGACTTCTTGGCAGATGTTCTAATTACCTCACAAAAATAAAAAGCTGCTTTACAACACCACTCTTAAGCCGATATGGACTTACTGACTGGAAGTGTGGATTCACAATATGCCGATATGGCCAACATCTGCCACATTCAAACTGTCCTATCTTTAATCCAACGAAAAATACCAGATGCTACATATTACACATCAAACCTACACATACAGACTTAAATAGCCTTTTCGTTCAAGATGAAATCCGTTCCTGTTATCGCAAAATTCACAAAACTCTCCCAACCACTGTAAATCAGCACATGAGAAACCGAATTCCCTCGAACACTCCTTGCCAACTGAAGAGACAATGGCTGCAAAATCTCCTAGGAAGTTATGATGATGATTGGCAAAGTGATAATGCCACAAGTATTAATTAAACAGACAACATTTTAGTATCATCGAAGTACTACCTATAAGTATTTTCTCTTTTTTTTTTTCTTTTTTTTTTTTTTTAATTTTCTATATATTTCCTTGTACATTGTTACATTTTACCTATTTTAAGATGGCACTGGATGTGTATGATTAGGTCTCAAGGAGGTCCCGAGGCCTCCGTCGGTTGAGGAGGGTTTTCAAGAGTGGCGGGTTTTCAAGATGGGGATGAGTGGATAGGGCTCGAGCAGTATGGTTAGGGCGGTTCGAAAGGTTGGTGTGGAAGGTTTAGAATCTGGACCTGATCAGTTCTTTGACAAAAGGAATGTTGGGGTCTCTGTATGAGTTTAGTGACATAATAAGGTGACAATTTGTCTAAGGATTTTCAATAGGAAGGATTGACTGCGCTAGATATCGGATGGCTTGGCAGTACCACACAGTTCCACTGTGTGTCCATACTGGTCTTAGTAAAGTCTTGAACTGTGTAAAGTCTTAGTTGGTCAAAGTTGATTTCGGTCTTAGAAGTCTTCATAGTAGTTCAAGTCTTGTGGTTGTTTTTTAAGTCTTCTGTTGGGATTCCATGTCAGACTGCCAGACTCGAGATATAGTCCCAGGTATTTATCTTGAGTCGAAACTGGTATCTCTTTGTTGTTGATATGTAATGGAGGGCAAGACTGCTTTTTCAGCATAAAAGTACGCTGAGTGCATTTTTCTTCGTTCAGTCTTGTCCTCTATTTTTTACACCAGTCTTCAATAAGCTCAAGGTGTTCCTGGATGTTGGATGTTGGATGTAGCATGGACAGGATGTAATGTACTCAAATTTAAAAAAAAAAATGTAAGTAAATTATCTTATTTGTATTGAAAGATGTCTTGAAATAGCCAACATCGTGATGATTTTTTTATAGGATTTAAAAATGATGAATATTCCGTTAAAAAGACTTTTAAAGTAGTGTTAATTTCAAGTAAACAATCACAAAAAAAATAATTATAATAATTAAGAATAAATGTTCGAGCGATTGGCTCGTTTTATTAGTATTAAATTGATAAAGGTGTGCGACTGACGTTAAAAACCACTTGTTGACTATCGGTAACGAGAAAGAGACAGGTACGGAAACGTCAAAAAACGTCAGTTGTACAGTAAGACGCGCGCCAATTGAATTTGACATGAATTAACCATTGTAAAATACAATAAAGGTTCAAATTTGTCCAAAACTGTTCGACTCACCAACAGTCGCGTTTGTTGTCCTTTCAACCGACTGTCATCCCAGGTATTCGTAAAAGCGGACCGACAATCCTAGGTGTGAGTGTGTAACTGTGTAACCTTAGTCACTATTCATGAGTACGACGAGGTAGGAAGGGACCCGAGGTATCGAGTCGGGGGACGCGATCCAACCGGCGCCACGTATCGATACGGGCGCCCGCCAATTTGGTCTCGGCCACGCCCTGTAGCTCAACTGACTCATGCCATGACCTCAGACCTGAGACCAGTACCCGTCGTTGGCTCCTGTTCTTTTTCAAAAAATTAATTAATTAAAAAAATACAAAATCGCTTTGAACTTTAAGTCTCGCCGGTTTTGAAAGGTCATAAGTACTTGGGATTGCATGGGTTACTATCTATCATATACTATCAATATACTACTATTCAGATACTATCTGGATACGACAATTAGACTATTTATGAACCATACACGCAAAATTTAAAACAATAAACGAACTCACGCTATTTTCAACTCAAAATACAAACATTATACAAAATTCTAACAATGTAATATTTTCTCCTTCCTACCAAGAATCAACCTGTACCCATTGATAGGAAACAAGAAAGCTGATGAGCTGGCCAAAGCAGCTACAACAAAACCAGTAATAGATAGAGAATTTAAAATATCACATTACGATGCCATCAATGTTATAAAAAAAAAGAACAATTGAAGCGTGGCAGAATAGATACAGATTTTCAAGGTAGGACACTGGTATAAATCTACCTTCCCTAAGGTCAGTTGGGGTTGGTTCACCAGAGAAAGGTTTGGGCAGTACTACCACTACCAGCACTACCACAATAGGCAGACTACATTCAAACCGTTGTATCTGTTTACAGATTATAATAACTACACATGATTGGACAGGAAGACAGTGACCTGTGTGTGCAACCAAGTTGAAAACGCGAAACATCGTATGGTACTGCAAAAAATTTGAAAAGGATAGAAAGGCACTTTTCCCTATGATAGATCAATGCAAATTGCCTTATAATTACAAATTTTCAAGACCAAAAATAACCTATGTGTCATTAATCTGGTGGACCTAAGCTTAATAAAAAGTAGCACATTAGGCAGCATACTATAACGTTGTGGGAGCGTGTATTTATAACATCACACACTTTTATTTTTACTTTATATTCTTTCTAAAGTTACAAGCGACTGAGTAACTCCAAATCCAGCCTCCTCTCCTTAGGCCTGCCGCCGTCCTTTCGTCTGCCTCCTCATCGTTGGAACTCTGCCTTATTGATTTTTATGTCACTTTGGCGACCTTTATGAAATAGCTTGTCATAAACACAAAGACTCGCGAACCTATGTATCACAGTGGCATGAGAACAACCCAAGTGCACTAGAAACTTTGCTAAACCTACCTCCACTGGAAACATTTAGGCTCCAAAAACAATCAAATTGGATAGGAACTCAACAATTCAGGCATACAGCCATAATTAACAAAATCAGACATTCATTCTTAGAAACGAGGGTTGACTACATGATCCTGGAAACATTCTTTACAACAGCCTATAAAGTCTCAACAGATTATAAAGGAGAGGAAGAACACAGGAGCGCATCAGATACAATGGTATGGTATACAGATGGATCCTAAACAAACAAAGGAAACAGATCAGGCATTTTCTGTACAAGCCCAAAGCGTGAGCAATCAAACTCATTAGGGAAGTACACTTCGGTGTAGGGAGTTTAGGATGGTTTTCATAGAATAACATTTTTAATACATAATAATAATGTTAGGATCAGTTTTTATTTGATTATGTAGGTGATCTGGGTTTGCCCTAACGTTTATATAAAAGGACACAACTTGCATCTCTCTCCTTCTATTTAGATTTAGTTAGATAGCAAGTCGGAATTTAAGAAGCATATTATCAGTGTTAATCAAAAATCTCTCTTCTTTTTTTTTTTCATTTTTAGAAAAACATTTTCCTTGTCGTGCCAACATTTTGATCTTTATTGAGACCATCTTCAGGGCCTGGGATTTATAAAGATTGTTTAAATTGTACAAATACATGTAGGATGTGAAAATTTTAGAATTTATACACTGATAGAAAATTTTAGATAAAAAATGAATTTATAATTGTAATATAATATTATTNTATATTATTAATTAATATAATTTTTTTATAACAAACACTTGTAATTTTTATAATTCCAATTCATCATTGACGTACAAAACTCATTTGACCTTGAATTTTCTTATTACTCTGAACTTTTATTAAAGTTCAAAATAAATTCAGTAGAATCTTTCATTTTCATTTTTTTAAATAATTTCTACACTCAAGGCAAATGTTTAGAGAGTTTATATAATATTTTCATATTCATTTGATGTATGTCTCAACATTCGGTAGACACAACTTTTTATGTTTAACATTTACAATTATACATTACGATGTTATCCTAGGATATTATGAATAATTATATTTTACAGTTAAATTTTGTTTGTATTCTCTAAATTATGTTAATTAGATATATTTTATTTAATTATTCATACTTACAATTAGAGAGTTCACCCATCACAATTGGCAGTTGATTCAGCTTGATCTGGATAGTTCAGCGTGGAATATTTTCGCTTTTATTTTAAAAAAATTTTTGTTCGGACAAAAGTTTCCGAAATAAATTAACATTTTTATTTCTCCCTTTGAGACCAGGCAAAATTTAATATTTAAAATTGCAGAGTTAGCACAATAAATAAATAAAATATAATAAATCAAGCAAGCTTTGATCCTACGTCTGATTAAGGTTAATTTATAACCGCAGTGTCTGCATAAACGACTACAAACCAAACTCGTGCGGCCCTTGTCATAGTTTTTTTTTATAAGTAAATAATATTTTTATGCTCTTGTATGGGTTCAATATTTATACGTACACTCAAAAAAACCAGTTTGGCCTTATCTTTCAGACACAGGACTACTCTAAATCGTGGCGTACTATTTCAAAGATTTGGTTCATCATCATTCAATAATACTCGGGGAGACAAGGTACTTTTAATTTAATTAATTAAAATGTCTGTGAATTTTTAGACAAGTGTTTCAGTTTAATATAAACAAAGTTCTGTAGCGTTCAAAAAATAAACATTGCCACTTTTAGGAGCACAAGAAAGGCACTAGTGTAGCTGCGATGAAGTTCAATTACCCAGTGCCCCGCAGGGATGAATCAGTTAAAGAAGTTCATCATGGAGTCGAGGTTATTACTTAAAAAAACAAAACAAAAATCAAAAGTTAATAAACAACCGGATTTTATTAGGTTACAGACCCATATAGATGGCTTGAAGACCCTGACAGTGAGGAGACGAAGAAGTTTGTCGACGAGCAGAACAAAATATCAATTCCGTACACTCATGATTGTTCATGCCGCGATAAGGTCAATACCAAGTTGACGGAAATGTGGGACTTTCCGAAATACGATTGCCCTTTCCGCGCCGGCGATTATTATTTTTTCCAAATGAACACCGGCCTTCAGAATCAGAGGTATGTTGGTTATCAGTTACCGTTGAATGGTGTCGTTAAATGGTTGTTTTAGCGTTTTATATAAGATGGAGTCGCTGACTGGCGAGCCTACAGTTTTCCTCGACCCGAATCTTCTGTCCGAAGACGGGTCAATTTCCTTTGCCGGACGTTCGTTTTCGGAAGATGGCAAAGTCATGGGATATGCGCTCAGTCAGAGTGGTTCCGATTGGGTGACTTTTCACTTTAAGGATACAGCCACTGGTAAAAATTAACAAATAAAATGTTATGTATTAAAGTATAAATCTTAATAATTGAATTTGTTTAGGCAAAGATTTTCCTGAGAAATTAGAGAAAACAAAGTTCACGTCTTTAGCTTGGACACACGATAACAAGGGGGCTTTTTATGGGGTAAGCAAGAAAAAAAGAAGTTATTTTTAATGTATAATAATTTCATTTTTAAACTTCATGTTTGAAGTATTTGATGTGGAATGTAGTCAAATAATTACACAGTTAATTATACCTATACATATAACCCATGACTACCGCGACTTCGATCGCCCATGCCACAAACCTCTCATTTTGACTCCTTGTTTATTCCAATTGTAAGCAAATCACGGCTTCATATAGAAACACATTTTATTAATGATTGTACTGAAGTGGGACGTGTACGATTCACAGATGTGATTCTCTAGGTCAATACTAACTTTTTTATTTTTTTTATCAACTTATTCTTAATTATATATTTACTCAATTAATTATACACTATTTTTTGAAAATTAAAAATCCTGTGTCACGATCGCCCATGCCACAAACCTCTCATTTCATCTCCCCGTTTATTCCAATTCTAAGCCCACCAGTGACACAGGGTTTTTCATTTAGAAAAAAATTGAGTAAATATGTAGTCAAATAGTTCTTTTTTTAAATTTTTGTTTGTCTTTCCTCAATACAACCACACCAATGTTAATGAATCGTGGAAATACTAACAAAAAGAAAGAAACAAATTTTTTTAAACTTCACAATCATCTTATAGGGTTGCTCAGAAAATTATGCTGGTTTTCTTTCAATTACCCCTCTACATAATAAGCAGTTTACGTTTGATGGATGATTTTGTATGAATGTCAAGACACTTTTTAATCCTCTTCCAAACAAAAATGTTTCTTGGGAATAATTCAGTCTATGAAGATGCCAGCTCGTTTTTTTTTGTATACTTTTGTTTTACAAGTATAAACTCGGTTGGAACGGTGCCAAAACGGCCAGAAATATTAATGAAGTCTGGGGCGACAGCAGTGTGAGTGAGAGCCCTGTTTATAGATGGTTTAAAAAAATTGGAGAGTAAGACATTAGCCTTGAAGACAAAGATGGTCGTGGAATCTTCCATAGATCATAACATTCTGAGAGCTTTGGACAAAGAAACTCTTTGAGAACTTGCAGAGAATCTTTCTGACCACTTTAGGGCAATTTGAAAGGTGAAAAAGCTCTAACATTGGGTTCCTCGTGATTAAATGGCCGCCAAAAAAATTATCACTATGAAGTTTGTGCAACACTTCTTTGCCCAAACAAAAACAAATCAAAATTCGTGTGATGAAAAGTGAATTGTCTACGATAGCAGCCGTTCTGGACAATTATTCAACAAAGAAGCTGCACCATATTTTCCAAAGACCCCCAATTCATCAAAAAAGGTGATGGTGATGCTTTGATGAACTTCATTTGGGCTTGAATGCTGAAATGTATTGCTCTCAAATTGATGTAATAGCACCAGAAGTTGGCGTTATTGAAGCCATCTTTGGTCAATTGGAAAAGACCGATTCTGTTAAACAACGCTCGACCCCGTCTCACAGAGGACAACACGAAAACTGTTGGATCTTTGTAAAGAGCTTACAACCATCATTTATCAGGCACCCTGGCAACTTTTTACAACATAAATAATTCACTAATTTCGTGGTCCGCTTGACCTATTAAATCATTACAATTAATTAAGGTTTTTAGTTGAGATGAAAAAAAGTTAATGGCACGAGTGGGATTCAAACCCACGATCTTCGGCTAGATACGCCGCTGCTCTACCACTTGAGCTATCGTGACCTCGATCCACTCGGACATCAACATCCTATCTCAATCCCACCTTATGAGTTTTCCCTCCTTTTTGCCATTTTTCAAATGTCGTGTAATCGGTTTGGATTCTCGACGACAATTGAAATGGCCACGGAGAGCTTTAATGAAGTGTACTTCATATTAATTCTTTAAATTCACTAATTTCGTGGTCCGCTTGACCTATTAAATCATTACAATTAATTAAGGTTTTTAGTTGAGATGAAAAAAAGTTAATGGCACGAGCGGGATTCGAACCCATGATCTTCAGTTAGATACGCTGCTGCTCTACCACTTGAGCTATCGTGACCTCGATCCACTCAGACATCAACTGAAAAATTTTTAATAAAATTTTTTTAGGTTTAATTCCTACCGTCCTCTAGACTTTTTTTCTGGCGCCTAATGGGACTGGTGGTGGGTGCTATGAAAATTGACAAGCATTCATCAGTAAAAGGTCTGGGGTGGGATCGGATCTGAGCGACACTGAATTTGGTCCTGATCAACTTTTAAAATGAGTTTCTTTGTTGGAAGAACACCAGCACACCAGGGCAATACACGTGTTATGAGCTCCCAAAAATGAAACAAGGGAGGAGTACAGTAAACTCTGTAGAGCTGCAGTGGATTTACTTGGCATAGCATGGACACCATAGAACATTGAATTTATGGTGAAAATTCAAATGGAAAATGTGTAAAAAGTCTAAAAATCAGAATTAAAAAGTTATTTTTCTGTACACTATGTGCCATGCTAGCAGTTCTAGGTTAAACCATAGCATTACTTTTGCAATTTTATGTGAGAATTAACAGGAGAGTGGTAAAAAAATCCACAAACCCAAAAAGTGTTGCCTTTCCTGCATGACAGAAAATACTTGACTTTTGTCAGTATTTATTAATTTATTATTAATATTGAAACCATGTATTTTAGTAATTTGTGTCAATACATAACTTTAAATTTAATTTAAATGATTCGTTTAATAAATGTAATTAATCACTATCATAAGACACTAATTAACTTATTATATTTGCAATTTCAGTATTTTCCTGATATTGAATCAAGTAAAGCAGTGGGTTCAGATATTGGTGTTGTGAACAACCAGAAGGTCTATTATCACAGGTTGGGTACATCTCAGAGCGACGACGTTCTTTGCATCGAATTCCCTGAAAACTGTGGATACCTTCTGTGAGAAAAAGCTGTCTACCGAAATTTCAACGATTTCCTCTTTACCTGATTTTATCTTTTCTTTCAGGGCTACGCAAATAAGCAGTTGTGGTAGATGGCTCGTCGTCGAACCTAGAAATGCTTGTCATTTTAACCTCCTCTATTTCGCCGACCTGAATAGCCTTCCTAACGGAATCACAGGGAAAATTGAATTGACCGAAGTCATTGGAAAATTAGAAGCCGATTATCACGTAAATTTGTCAGATATATGCTGTTTCATCAGAAAATTTCAAACTAATTTAAATCATATTTTTAGTATGTAACAAACACAGGGTCAAAATTTGTATTTAGGACAAACAAAGATGCTCCTAATTATAAGCTGATAGTGATAGATTTTGAACATTACAGTAAAGAAAATTGGACAACTCTTATTCCAGAACATAGCTCAGATGTATTGGACTGGGTCGCATGTGTCGCTGGTGACAAACTTGTTCTTTGTTACATACATGATGTTAAGGTAAGTTTTGTCTTAATAAATTAAAAATAATTTTGGGCAATTCTATTCATCTATGTGGAGTTGGGTTCAAACCTGAATTGAAGTTTTTTCTGTACAAAAAAAATTTTTGTTATAAGTATGATGGCTTAATAAAATATAGGAAAATATATGGATAATAAATAACATAATAAGCGTGATCAGTTTGTATTGTGTTATATGAAAATGTGTTAAACTTTTTTAAAAAGATTGAACACATTCCACCATTTATCATTTTTATTAACGTGTGTAACTGTGATTCAGAAGTAAATAAATACATTAGGAACAGGCTGTAATATGGGCTGGTGCAAAAATAATGCAGGTTTTGAAAAGGGAGTCAAACAATTTTTAAGTTTTATAAAATAAAGAAAATTTATTCGATTTATTTTCCATCTCAACCTATATAGCTTTGACAATGTGTAGTAAACACTTTTATTCCGTTGACATAAAAATCTTTATTTCGACTCATAATAAAGTCTTGGAAAGCATTTTCGGCTTCACCGTGTTCTCTAAAGAATTTTATCCCTCAAGAAGTGATCAAAATGTCAGATCTAAATACAGGGCCACTGGATTTGAACCCGGGACCTTTGCCTTACAGTGATGAGCACTGTGTCAATGTTTAAACCATTATGGCCACCAACGCTCCTTGTTGACCTTGTTTACTTTACCAATTTGCTCTAGATGGCAAACAATGGTTGAGAGGTCAACACTAAGCTCTTCCGCATTTTCCTGTTGTCTTATGTAAATTTTCTTCAATCAAGATTTTAAGTTGGTCAACGCCCACAACAGAAGGCCTACTGTGTGGTGTGACCTTCCCAGTCTGAGATCAAAATCTCTGAAACCGTCGTTGCACTGTGCATTCGCTAATGCTGTTTCCCTCTCCCTAAACTAATGTGCACGGTTTGGGCTGCACTTTGCCCAAATAAATTGGACAAAAAGTAAAGTATTTATTACAAAAAAAAAAGTATTTATTATTGATTTGAGGATTTAGCTTTGTTTACATGACAAGTACGTGCAAAAATAAAACAAATTTTCAAAACCTGCATTAATTTTGCACCAACCCAATACTTAGAAAAGCCATTCTGAAGCAATGTAGACCATCTCATACCGATGGGGCCCCATTCGGTAAGAGACGGTTTTTAAATCGTTCAGTCTTCCCCTCCTTCGAGGACATTGGTTTCTTCCCTAACTCATCTGTTATTGTATTTGGAAATTTCGTTTTCAGATTAACTATACTTGTACCAGTTCATAACTGACACGATTTTCGATAGATTTTGACATTAAATTTATTTCAATTAATTAATCTTTTTATGAAAGGTGTTGGTTGAAATGAAAACATTAAGTGTCATGAGTGGGATTTGAACCCACAACCTTTGGCTCAATACACTGCTGCTCTAACCACTTAAGCTATCATGACAAGTGGTTAGAGCAGCGGTGTATTGAGCCGAATGTCGTGGGTTCGAATCCCGCTCGTGACACTAACTTTTTCATTTCAACCAATACCTTTCATTAAAAAATTATTTAATTGAAAGAAGTTATTTGTTCAATCAGACCATTAAATATAATGGATTAAATTTATTCTCTTCTAGAAATGTGGTGATTAGTGACCGTTAATCGATAATTAACTTAACATCTCACGATTTCTGAATATTTATTCTCTTCTTTGCATCTAAATCTAAATAAATATGTGATTTTGAGGGGTTATGATGTTATGATTATAGTCATTGATGTTCTTTTGATGAATTATAGGCCCAAAATGACATCTACTGGAAGATTTGAACTATGTAAGACTCGTATTTCCAAGAATAAATCTTAATTTTAATTTTATTGGTTGCATGTAATTTAATTTCTTGAATTTTTAATTCATGCAATGCTTAATTTCACACAGTAATTATTATACATTTATGTTTTAGTGGTCAATTGACCAAGTTATCTCTTTCAATTAACTATTATTTCCATGTAAGGTCTTGGTTGAGATAAAAACGTCAGAGTCAGTAATTATTATATTACATTTACTTTTAATAATCCCATTATTTTTCTTTATTTGATTCCAAACCTTCTCGCTCATACAATAAAATACCCCAGAGAAGAATTCTAAACTTCATAAAAGAAACAAAAATCATCCAGGAAATCTATTAGGAAAAATTTAACACAATAGTACTGTACATCTCAATAAAAACTAAACGAGCTCCATAGTTAGGTCTTTTCTGATCATTTTAGTCTCAATTTATGATTGTTTTTGAATGTTAGACATGTTTAGGTTTGTTGCTGGTTTACAAATATATAAAATTGCCACAAAATTAATTGAGGTTTTATCCCTATTACCCATTATTATAATATTAACAGAACTTAGACACAGAATTTAATTACTCTTTAAATGTAATATGTATTTTTGGATTTGTGAGGAGCTGTCAAGAATGAGGTAGTTTAGAAAAACACATGTCACAACAATTTCACACAAAATAATATGACACTACAAGAATAGTGCCACACTTTATGCCCTGAAGATGACCCAAATAAAGGTCGAAATGTCAGCAAAAAAATGAAAAAGATGTTTTTCTAAACTACTTCATTCTTGACTACTCCTCACGAATCCAACAAATCATTTAACAACTGATAACTAAAACAACGTGTAATATGTATTATTTCAGAATGTTCTTCATGTGCATAATTTGTCAGATGGGTCATTTATCCAAGAACTGCCACTTGAAATGGGCACTGTAACAGGTTTTTCAGGGGAGAAAAAATACACAGAATTGTTTTACGATTTCAAGTCCTTTTTCACGCCTGGTAAAATTTACAGATGCGACTTTAGCCAAACACCCATCCCTCCTCCAACAGTAAGCGGTTAGACGAGAACTGTCGTAAGTTAATTGTACTAAAATTGAAGTAGGTTTTCAGGGAAACGACGATTCCCGGTCTAACACCTGAAGATTACGAGCTCGAACAGATTTTCTACTCGAGTAAAGATGGTACAAAGATTCCAATGTTTATCATGCATAAAAAGGTAGGCTATGGCTATTTTAAATTAAGAATTTTTTTTCTGTCTTGGTTTCCATTCCATAAGATTTCACTTTTCCAAGTGTTAAATATTGGGTGTGTGCTATTTTGCTTTTCAGAAAAAAATTCAAACTTCCAAAATATAAATATACTTTATTTTTAATCCAAAACATAATTTTTTTTGCTTTCTATAGTATGACTATTTAGATGATATTTTATGACAAAAAGGGAAGAAAATTTAGTATGATGGGTTTGGACCATCCTCAAATGAAGTGCAGCTCAAAAGAGAAGATTAAAAAATAAAAATAATAAAGTTTATGGGCCGACAAACAACTGAGGTCATCACCAGCTCTATGCATGTTTTCCTTCTTTTTCTGTTCATTCGCACGTATTTTATTTCAAGCGTCTTGATCTGGTTACTGACTCTTTGCCTTTAAATGCATACTACATCGATATCCTAAAATGTTACCCTCTAGTTCAGGCATGGCCTACTGTATTTGCTCCTAGGCCAGATTGGGAAGAAATTTTTTTTTTCATAGGCCAGACGAAATATTAATACCGAGGATTAGCCTGAACTGTAAAGCTAATAGGTTAATCCTCTAACAAATAGTTTCCTTGCTGATCATCATCCTTATGACATCTATCAAGAATTTGATTAGTTCTCTGTAGAGCAAAAACGCTTATAAGGCGTTATCTGGGTGAAGGGATGCTTGAAAACAATAAAAAAATTTACAATTAAAATAGAAAAATGTTAAGCAAAACACTGTGAAAAAAATTTTATTATGAAATCTGTTTATGAATAATCGTAAGTAAATCAATACAATAAATTAGCATAGTAGCTAATGCGACATGTTGAGGCGATTTGCATCATATATTTTTTTATCCGATTTTACTTGCAGTAGCTATTTTTAACACAGCTTCCAAATATAAATCATTCAATCTTGATCTTGTTGGATTTCAATTTAGATTCATTAAAGAAAAGGTTTGTTCACAAATATAAGTTAAGCTAAAGATTATTAAATACATCTTGGCAAGTTTTTTAAAATTTCTACATTTTTCATTATAAAAATTATACAAATTTTCTTTCTTTTCTCGATATTTCTCATGTAATAATTCGTCACGTTGTAAATGAATTATTTCTAATTCTATCGACATCTATCTATCAACAGGAGTACAGTAAACATAGATGAGTATAGAAGTTTTAATTCTTCATAATGGGATTTTTTTTTATAATATAGAAGTATCGAGAATTCATTTGTTTAATTACTAGAAGTTAAATGCTAATTTTGAAAAAAAATTTCACGGGCCACATAAATTCATTACGCCAGCCGTATGTTGGCTATGCCTGCTCTAATTTGTACCTCTGGTTGTCAAATACAGAAAAGAAACAATACATATAATATACATCACCACAAACATAGATGTTTGGTCACATTCACTCCCCCAGAGTACTCGATATTCCTCTGGGTGGGGTTGAACCCACTTCATTCTCATTAATAACTTACTTTTACTTTACAGATGTCATTCACTCACCTCAGAGTCTCGATATTCCTTGGAGCGAGCTAAATGACACCTTACTTTCACATTAATAATTGCATTCGGTCGAATAAATTAACATAAAGTCAACACAGTTACAGTATAAACACTATACACATTTAAAAATCCTTGTAGATCTGAGGTATCGCAACAGCGATCTATGCCCACTGCTATACCCCAAGACAATGCACAAGTCCGACGATATGTCAAAATTGTCGAGCCAATTGTCAGGATATTGTCAAGCCTTTTACAATAAAAAAAAAAGTGCTTGACCATTATTCCAACCTTGCATAACAGGCACCTACGCAATCACTTACCGGCTGTACATTGAACCCCTATGAGATTACCTGTTTATTGATGAGTGGTCTATGTTTCGTAAAAAGGATAAAAGGCCTCAGTTTTTGTTACATTTGTAAGCTGGTGGTAAAAATTAGTTTAAACAACCATGCAAAAATAGCTATAAATCGGAAGGGGCGATCACCCAGACAGAACAATGTGTCGTCCCCACCAATGTGGGAAACACTAACTATCCAGTAATTAAGCAGTTAGTCGAAAGGTGTAGCATAGTACAGATGGGAGCCCTGCAATAATTACACAGATGGTCAAATAAGAACGTCGAAGGATATTGCAGACCCAGACCAACCTGGAAAAAATAAAGCTGAAATAGATGGCCAATCAAATAAATAACTAGTGTTGAGTTATTTAGTGCTGAGGGGTTGTCACAAGGCAAAAAATATGTAACGATGTCAACCAGGTGCACGACACCCGTCTGTGCCAGTCCACCTGCGGTGTGTGAACTCCCCCGACTTTTGATTTTCCTTTCAACCTCTTCTCTGGTAGAGAAACTGATATAAAAAGGTATGATTTAGAAATCAAAATCAGTCAAGACCAAGGGCTCACACCAGTGAATCAAGACCAAAAGGCAGTGAACAGTGAACTCCAGGAGTCAATCCCAACAGAGCAGCCACACTGGGCGGCCATCTGGAATAGAACAAGGGGACTCATCCAGCTAGAGCCAGCGAGGACAGTCTTTGTGACTCATCGGCTGACAGTCAAGAAGCATACTGATCGTGGGAAACGTCGTTTGGAATAAGTCCCTTTGTTAATAGTCTCATCCCAGAGCTAGAATTGTGTCTGACTAATTAGATTAATATTTTGTTGTGGAGGTATACATTTAAAGGACAGAAAAGTGTTAAAATAAATGTTGAATATACTCTGGTTTATTAAATTCTAAAACCTCACCTTCCCCCACACAAGAATTAGTAGTGAAGCGCTTATGCCGACTACTCTTATCGCTTAGGGAAAAGCGAGCGAAGAAAGATTATTCGGCCATCGCCTGCTTACCCTAAACTGACTTTAGGGATGAGCTACTCCTTTTTTAACCATTTTGATAGGCCTTTTCCCATCCAAGAGCTAATGCTAGTAATAATGGATTGATCCTTACAAGGTTCAGTCGAAATCTGTAAAAACACAAAAACTTATGCACACACCCAATAGTCGAGGTTATTTTTTCATACAGTTATGTATTACATTTTAAATTAACACAACTCTGATGTGGAAGCATGCTTTATGTTGACCACTTGCGCACCTTCTAATTTTTTATTCTTTTACTGATACAAAATGTATATTTGTAAATAATAAATGTTTGCATTTTTTGTTTTGAGATAAAGGTAGTGAGGTGTGAATGTTTTATTAATTTTGTTTAATTTGAGAATTCTAAATGTTTGTTTATTTTCAGGGATTAAAGAAAGACAGTAATAACGGTTGTTTGTTGTATGGTTATGGTGGATTCAATGTTAGCCTTCAGCCGGTTTATAGCACTTTCCGAATAATCCTCATGAAACATCTTAATTGTATAATTGCTATTCCTAACATTAGGGGTGGTGGGTAAGCAATTTTACCGATTATATACGATCATCTCGGACGGATTAATACCAACAGTATTTTATATTTTTAGAGAATACGGTGAAAAGTGGCATGACGGAGGCCGACTTTTAAACAAGCAAAACGTTTTCGACGATTTCCACGCCGCTGCTGAGTATTTGATCGCAAATGGTTACACGAAAAAAGACCTCCTAGGAATCCAAGGCGGATCAAACGGCGGTTTGTTAACAGCTGCTTGTATAAATCAAAGACCTGACCTCTATGGCGCCGCCATTGTCATGGTCGGGTGAGTAAATAACAATTAATATTAAACTTCACTTGTAATGATTTTTTTCATCCCAGTGTTCTCGATATGTTGAGATATCACAAATTTACAATCGGCGCTATGTGGAGTTCGGATTACGGTAATCCTGATGAAGAAAAACATTTCAAAAATATTCTCAAATACTCGCCACTTCATAACATTTCCGTCCCTAATGATCAGGTAATTTTTTTTATATGTATTATTCTTGCCTCTTTTTACATAATAATATATATAATAACATATTTCAGTACCCGGCAACGTTATTATTAACTGCAGATCATGATGATAGAGTCGTTCCATCACATTCTTTAAAATTTATCGCTACATTACAACACACACTCAAGTCTCATCCAAAACAGGTTTATAAATTTGTATACAAAAATACTTAGATAATTACTTATGTTATTTATTATTTTCACAGGAAAAACCTTTAATAATAAAAGTTGACACCAAGTCTGGGCATGGAGCTGGAAAACCAACAACAAAAAAGGTAATAATTTTTGTTTTTAATCATCTTTTTAAATTAATTTAAGTTTGTCTAATTTTTTCTTGTAGATTGAGGAGTGCACAGACATCATATGTTTCCTGCTCAAAGCTTTAAACCTCCAGTATATCGAGTAATACAAAGGGAAAGGGACTTGAAATAAATTATTTTTTCTCCCTCTGTTTAAAATTTGAATTTGATTTGCCAAATATGCACCACTTATCGTTGTGTATTACACAATTTCTAAACTGTTGACTTTTATTTATGCTTGAATATTTCAGTATTCAAACAATGCCATGGTAAGTTACCATGTTTTTGTACATTTCTTCTCGATTTGTAGCTGTTTTATTATTATTTTTATGTGAAGTATCATATATTATGTACTATACTTGTATACAAAATATTATATTTAAGTATGTTGTTTTTAATTGGTTATTTTATTTATATTTTTCCCTTTTACTATTAAAGGTTCATGTTTAATTTTCAACTACATAATTTAATCAATAAACCACATAAATCAAATTCATTATTATTTTAGATCATTTTTGTCTCAAAAGTGCCGTAAGTAGTAAATAATGTTATTTTATAATAAATTTACTTTAAACAATAGACAAACTAATTGTCATAAAAAAGTTGATTTTTTACGAGAATATTCCAACTACGAGGTTATGTGAATCCTCGGGGTGCCAGTGTTTTTTTTCCTCCTGTGGTTTACACGGTGATGAACGTGTAATTTTATCCTTACTGATTATCTTGGCTGATTATCCATGCTGGATTGGTCTGTCATGATGTTTCAACATTTTGCCATCTTCAGTGAGTCATCTTTTTTATAAGGTGGTGGGTGGTACGTTGGTAAATTCGTTTATTTATTTTTTTAATGTTCCAAAGAGTGTGATTTTCAATACTTTATAAATTATAAAATAAAAAATTGAAATAAAAACTATATTTTATTTACAGGTTTGTTTAAAATTATTCAATCACACATGACATCTTCATTGCTGTCATCACTGTACACAATTTTTGGACTTTCTGCGTCAAAGTAACTGTCTTGTTGATCGGTTTCCAGCATGATCAGGTCATCGTACTCATCATTACCGTCCACCGTGCTAAAATGTTTGTATCAATGACAAATATCGTAAATGTGTAAATACAAATTATCATTATTAATATCAATCCACCTGTAATCGAATTCTTCATCTTTTCCGCCAAGGAAATCCGAGTAGACTCTAGACCTGAACTCATTGACCAAAAGCGCTTTCGCGTTATTTGACATATCCTCCTGTCTTGAATTTTCTAAAACTCTAAAAAAAAAAGTTTTAATATTTAAGCAAGATATAAAATTTGTTATTTACTTCTTAGAAGAAGAAGGTGCGTCTTCGGTGATTTCGCCCCAATTTGAGGACTTTGTTGGAAGGGCCAGAGTAAGAAATGGTTCCATCGAATTAAAATCCTCTCGAATTTCTTGTTTAAGCTTCGAATCCATTACATTCTTTTCGATAATATTAAAAAATATAGAAGAAAACCTACAAAATTTTATTTTATACGTTACATTGTAAAAAGTGAAAAATATTTTAAAAAATGCGATACGCACGACTTGTCTGATGGCTGTGTGTTCTCTTCTAACTCGGATCGCTCTTTATCAGTTAGGTATTGTCCGACCAACTCTTCAAAAAGAAGAGGATTTCTCCTTTTCATCTCCATGTCTGAAAAATATTCCCCTTCGGTGCAAAGTTGCCTAAGTGCTTCCAGACGTCGATTCCTTATGAGAGCCTTAAAAATGTACAAATTACAAGAGAATTGTAACATTTTAACAAGATAAGAAAAGTAAAAGCAATCTGACAAGTGATTGGCAAAGAAATTGGTCATTAAAAAAAAAAAAAATGTCTAAATTGGGGTTGGTGTTATGGTCAAGTCTAACCCCAAAGCCATTTTAAACACTTTAATAAAATTCTGAACTGACGAAAAAATTGTTTGATATAGTGAATTGCATCTTCTCTACAAGCTTTCACCCAGCAGAGCTGAAATTGCTAAAATCTTATACATTTTCAAAAAAGGAGAAAAGTTGCACATGTTCAATTGCTTTGTTTTCAGTATTTAACAAGGGGTACTCAACAATAGATCATCTAAATTTATGCTCAACCGGTCTAGGATCACTCTTTGGTTTGTCTTCACTCGTCGAGTTCCTCACTGAAGATGTGAGGATCTGTTGAATAACTCAACAAACCCACAAGTTAAGACACCCCCAATAATGTTTACAGACACGCAAACCACCACTCATCAACTTTATCAAAAAATCAGATTTACATATGAAAAATTGGGTTTAGAAAATCACTTTTGACAGATGCTCTGTTAATAATTGAGAGCATAGTCGAATCAAAAAAATATTATAATTCGGGTTGTTGGGAATGATCTTTGGGTTTCTTATCTTCACGATCGCCACCAGAAAAAATTCAATGGGGAGAGACATCTGGAGTACCACAGGGTTCCATACTTGACCCTCTCTTATTTTTAATATATATTAATGACTGTACAGAGCGCTGAGGGTAAATTTTTATGTTTGCAGATGATGCCTACTAACAAATAATGCCTACTAATGTGTAGAGAGCTTTTTAAAAAATTAAGAATCATGACATGTCACACATATATATTCTCGCCTTAGGAATTTTTGCTGTTGAGCACATACATAATGCTGATCAAGAACAAACAAGTTCATGGGTATGAATTAGAAGGGCTAACAATTTCAACTAAAAAATAAAAAGCAAGCGAATTAATGTGTTTTATAAATGCCCTCCCTCCTGATGTCAAAATTGTGATAATTCCTCCATTTAAGATTATTTTTTACTTCGAAATGCTTTTTAGTGTGGAGGTATTTTTAATCCGCAGTATAATGTTTTAGGTACAATGTATAAATTATGTATTTTAGTCTATACAGCAAGTATTCCGTATTTAGCGACAATAATTTTTTTAAATTATTTATTAACACCAAATAATAAATTTATTATAATTACCTTATTTTCAAGTTTCTTTTTTCCTTTCTGCAGCTCGTTAAGGTAAAAATTGATTTCATAGTCGTCGCTCCCTTCGAAATACTTCAAATGTTCGTCAAGTAAATATTTTCCGTATTTGGACAGGAACAGGGCTTTGCTTTTGTCCAGTATTCCTTTCGCGATCGTGAACTTTTCGTGAGTCGTTAAGTCCGGATCGCCTACTTGCTGGCTTTTAAAATGCGCTTCGTTGTTTTCAGAGATTCGGTTCAAAAGTGAAATCTTCAGGCTCTCTTGGTCTTCATTTTTATCAAAACCATTATCAACTGCCATCGACTCCATTTTTTTTTATTGGTCACATTCTAAAAAAAATTAATATTTAAGAAAATAAAAAATATCAACCACAGCATGGTTACTTCTATGTTTCACAGGTTCTCTATCAACCCTCTCATTGTCCGGGTATCTGGACATATTGTTCTGGGGTTCTGTAAACCTTCTCATTGTCCGGGTACCTGGAAATATAGGTCTGGAGTTCTGTAAACTCTCATTGTCTGGTTACCCAGAAATATAGGTCTGGGGTTCTGTAAACCCTCTCATTGTCTGGGTACTTTCTTCTGGGCATGTGTCCAACATACAGGGAAAGTTTGCTCTATGTGTCCCACCTAGAGAAGGGAGCAATTCTTTGGCTCCTTATAGAAAGCATGTAGGAATGCCGCCTTATATGAGAATTGTGGTTGAGCATGGCAACGAGTATCTCGGTCCCTTCTAATGATTCCTAGAGGCAGCAGAGTTGTTTATCGTATATTGTAATGATAGTTGTGTCCGAGTGTATGTATTTATTGTCGTGAATGTGTAATGTGAGAGTCAGAATATTGAGTGCCCTCAATTAAGTTAGTTATATTATAGGTGTAAATGCTGATGGAGGAATATTGATTAGGACAGCCAGTAATTTACTGTAGATTGCAAAAGCTGGAATTTCCGGTGGACTGAAAGATAGGTTTGACTCTGTACACGGGTGGGCATATTTGAGCAAATAAATATACATAAGTAATCATCTTATAAATAAAATGTAATAAGCTAGACATTCTCCAATTAATAAATTAAGATAATGTAAACATCATTTGCTTTCTCTTAACCAAACGAAACGAGCAACCAAACTAAAGTAAAGAAAATCAGCACAATCTAACAATTTATTTAAAAGATATTGAAACAAAACTTGAATTATCATTAGTAATTATTTTTAACCAGTGATGCTTAGAAGCATTTTGATCAGTTTGTGTGTTTATGTAGATGATGGGTAGTGTTTAACAAGCAAATTCATACAGTTGCAGCACAACAGTTGGAAGAAGCATAAATATAACGCATCACTGGTTCAGAGTGCTTGTGCAGTACAGATACAACAGTAAGTGGACAAAAAAATCAATAATGATTATCTGATTCAAATTGGAAAATTAAACCTAAATTGTAATACATTTCATAAAACTAGTTAGATAAGTGTAATATATACAGACTTTTTGTATGCATACTTTAGGAAAATTGGTTAAAATTACATGTTTTATAACATAGCTTGGACATTTTTTTTCAAGTTAAAGTAAAGTAATTGTCATTTAAGACAGCTAAACATCGAATTACTCATTGGGTGCCACGAACGGGGGTCAAAAAACATTACAATACATTTTTAATAAAATAATAATAATAAACTTTATTAAAACTTTTTTCTACATTCCCATCATTAGAGGTTGATTCGTGTTATTTTTATGGAATGAAGATGAAAGATGAGACATAATTTACAACCAAGACCCTATGATAGAGCTATAAATTGAGAATGTTAGTTATCTTCCTTGAAAATTTGGTCATTTTGATGATGATTGATGAGTCACGAAAAATGACAAGGAATCAAAAATTTAGGTCTTATTAACACAGTCACCGCTGAGAATACGATCCAGCCTCAGACCTTCCGTTGATACCGTGTCAATCTCTTGAAAATCAAAATCGAGTCAATTCAACTGACTTAAAACTAGTTATCTAGGGTTAAAGAGACAGCTCGTTTATATTCTAAAAGAAGAAACAGTTAACATTTTTTGCTATTCTAAATGCCAGCCTTTCATAACCAATTCACCTCATCATACTATACAAATCAAATGCCTCACGTTAAAACAAATCTAAGTTAAAAATGGTATAAAACGTCATAGAGAAAATAAAACATCTTCCCTTCACAACTTATCCACAGAATATAACATGTTGGCAAACAGTATGATTAAATGACTTTACAATGCGACAAAATGACTTACGGACGGCGTTAAAAATGTTTTGTTCTTTTGTATAAAACCAAATCCAATTTGTATATTTTTTTTAAACAATTGTATACACAAAATCCATATTTTGTAAACAGTTCTTGCAACCTGTCGCCGTTGATAACGTTGTGCCTACTCTCGCGGTGCCTCATTCGAGTCAATGACGTAAGGGTGAAAAAACAGAAATTGGTGAGTTTCTTGTAAAATCAAAGAAAACAGATGCTTGACAATCTGTTAGTTTTAAACAACAGTCAGTCAAAGTTCAAATACTTCAGTAATTTTATTTTTAAAAAGTGTAGAATTGACTTTGATTAGTGAACGACATCTTTACAATTAATTGTTGTCGATCTTTGAGGTTTAAATAAACAATAAAATTAATCACAGTTAGAAAAATTAATAATTTCAATAAAACTGCAATGAATTATTACCAACGTTTGAACTAGTACCATATTTTCTGTTTATTTTTCTGTTTTATGACCCTGTTGATGATATATTCACCTTATTATACATATTATTTATTAGCATTGGACACTGTTAACATTAATACTCTCCTTTTTAAACTTACATCTTATGATAAATAGCCTATTTTCTCTGGCAGTCAGCAATTTTAAATGTTTTAAATTCAGGACTTCATATTTATTCTTTATTTTATTGTACTATAATTTCAAGTTACTTCTATCCATTTTAATTAATAAATCTGAATATAAAATTACATTTTTTTATATCAGCCTTTTTATTTACTAGTTTATTATTTTATAATATGTAAATGTTCTAAAAAAATATTTTTCATACATTTTCTCTTTTTAACCGTTTATCTACTCTTTTTTATTACTATATACAATATACCAAATTCATTTAATTAGTTTATCTGGGTGATCTCGGGTCTTTAAATGGTTGACATATTTTCTCTTTGGAATTTTTGATCTGTTATTTATATACATCTTTATAAATAATTGTTTATTGCATTTATTTATTTATTTTGAGAAAAAGGGTGATGGAATAAGTAATTTAAAATTCTACCACAATGATTTTTTATACAGTTTAAATTTTAAAATTTTATTTTGTTTTCTAATTGTTGTCATATCTAGAAAGTTTATTTCATGATTAATTTTTTTTCACAAATGAATTGTTATTATTGAATTTTTTTAATAGTCCATCTACACTATCTTCACATACTGAAAATATTAAATAGACTTCATATTTATAAATGAAAAAAACTTTTGAAAACATATCGTATCTTTTATTTTATTTTTTTAATTTAACGAATTAATAGGAGATAAAACTTCTTATAAGGTATTTTGTAAATATTGTTTTTTATATAATTAAAATAATGAAGAAATGTTGATAATTTTTAGAAATCAATATTCACATGAAAATGTAATAAAATGTAGTGGAATAGAAAAAATGCTTTTCCTTGAAAAAAAAAACTCTCATAAAAGCGCCTAAAAAGGAATATACAAAAAAATGTATAAATACTAATAATTTGTACTGCATGTGTACAGAAATTTGATTTTAAACTCTGACCTAAAGTATATAAATAAATAAAAATGTAATCCAATTTGGATTCTAGAAAATTGTGATTCTGCCAGGATTTGGTCTGCTTTGGGATGTATTTGCAGTTGATAACTGTTGCAGCTTGCCCTTAGGCCTCGTATTTTTAGTTATCCAAAATGAAAATTGACGTCATAGGTGAAAGTATGACCTTGTGAAGTCGTCTCGATCTCGCATATCGTCCTCGGGAGGTTACGCTCCTGCCGGGGTTTCTAATTTCCAGATAAAAAAATCGTTGAACCCTTGTCGTGTCCTTAAGTCCTTTGTCCTTTTATTAAATTTAATCGGCCCAAATTGCTGTTATGCCATTCAAATTTTTTTGATCCGATTCCAACTCGGCGTCAATAATGTTCGAGTCTTGGGTTTTCGCTTTTTCCCTTCTCGATACAGGCGCGTTGCTCTTCCTGCTGGCCTATTTTGTATCCTTTTGCACCAGGTTATAGCAAAAATAATTGAAGATTTTGTGTTTAGGTTTTTTCCTCAGTTATCTCAATGGATTTCTTTTATTTTCCCTTGATTTATTATGTTAGATTATTACAATATCCGATCTCGAATGCGATTATTTAAACGTTTGGCAGTGCTGCGCCAAACTGAATATTGTGAGTTTCAACGTTTTCAAACTGTCTTAAAGTTTACTCTGTCTAATTGTTCTTTGAATTACAGTGGATCGTACCTAAGTTAGTGGCACACGGGGTTTTAATACCTTTGTTTCTACTCTGCGGTCATTGGGTCCTGGCGTTGATCAATTTACCGCCAGTCGCTTGGATGGCATACGAGTGAGTCGTTTGGTCCCGTCCAACTTCTGGTGATGTTCACATTCCGTTTGGTTTTTAGGTATTTGAAGGTCCCGTTAGGAAATACAGGTGTCTACGACCCGACAGAAATCCACGGGAAGGGCGAATTGAACAGACACATGAGAAATTGTATGATTTATCTCGGTTGGTATTTGATCTCTTTCTTCATTTATCTCTACTGGTGAGTATCAAACGACAAGCCTTCATTTATATTTACTGGATAATTTATTCAAACAGTGTCTGCTTAACATTTGAAACATCTTCATTGTCTGGCTTGTACAATCTCTTTTACTTTAAAAGTTTCCATATGTTTTTTCCTCCCCAAAAAATTAAAAATTACATATTTAAAAATATTTATTTTATGAGCCTGCTTGTTCTCGTCAACTCGATTTAATTCAAATGATTCATTGCGCTTTTTGATGGCCGTACGCAAAGAAAAAATTAACTTCAATCGGAGAAGGTGAAATTGTTTCTACACGGTATAATGTCAATTGTCCATGTGATATTAAGTGTTATTCGTAAAATGATTTGGAGGAACAAAAAAAGAAAAAGAAAAAAAGGATTCCCTCTGCTCCAATCTCAATTTTAAAGGCTCGAGTTGTCGATACTTCAATGATTTGTGTTTGGAATGTTGTTGGAAATTAGGTAAGCAAAGCAAGCTGTTCAGGATTAGAACTTAACAATTATTAGCTTCTTTAAAATTAAAATAAAATAAAAAATAATAAAATCACATCTGAGCAACATGATGTATTTTTAAGGTGCAACAGTCTATTTATCGATAAGTTGATAAAAAGTGAATTGTCAATTAGGAAAGTTATTTTTTTCATTATTTTTTATATTGAGTTTACAAACTTTCTAAAAAGGGCTGTCGGTGGCCAGAACAGTTTATGCATTTATTCTCATTAGTGTAAGGTGAAGGTCCTGGATTATGCGAAGAAGTTGATATAAAAAATTAGACTTGGGGGACCGATTAGCTCAAGTGGTAGAGCACCAAATATCAATACGGATATTTTGGGCTTGCGTCCCACTTGTAATAACTGGGACATAAAAATTAGTACCCTAAATAAATTGGTAAATCATTAAGATAATGAATAATCATTATCATTAAAATAGTTTCAAAGTTCTGATGGAGGTAAGGCAAAGGTCCCAGGTTCGATTCCATTTGAACCCGATATACTTACAAAAACAAAAGTAAAAAATAATAATCACCTTATCTGTAATTTTTTATATGCAATTATAATATTAAGATTTGTTTTAAACACATCAAAAGAAATGAATTAGGCTTGTTCTGTCACATATTTCTCAATATTCAGTTGGAATATTATCCAAGTTTCAAATAGAATATATTAAACATACAATATGACCAAATACAAGCACTTTTTATCTTTATTATTATTAAAAGCTATTGTTAAGCAATTATTAAATTTTTTAGTAAGATGAATTTGGTTCGAATCCATAGAATACTTACAAATTTTTTTTTCCAAAAACACCAGTAGGGTTGATACAACTATTGCTGTTATGAACCCTTGTTTAAAAAACACTTGGTTTATTCGTTGTGATTAAAAAAATAAAAATAAGTATAATTTTTTTTATTATGTTTGGATGTAATATTGAAATCAAGTTGTAAAAGTTCTGGGGAAATCGGAAATATATTGTAGTGTCTATTAGATAATTTTGAAATTTTGCTATTGCAAGCAGGTGCTGTCACTATCCTTATTGCTCGGCGATTGGTGAACATTAAGCAAATATGCTTATTTGTATGGAGGGAAGGTAGGGTTTAAAAATATAACAAACCAGGGAGAGGATTGGTTGTCACTGGATTGTCTTAATATTTATTTATTTATTAGTATAGACGGGCAAGAAGCACATTTACAAATATACAACAACAATAACAAATCTACTAAACTCAATTAATTATACACATTTTTTCCGAAATGAAAAATTTGTATCACAGGCAGGATTTGAACCCACGACCTTTGACAGCTACTACTAATGATACGCTAGAGTCCCAATTTGAAATAAAATAATATTCGTTAAGCTAATCTATGAAACTTATAAAAATGCTAGGGCAAATACACCAATGGACAAAATTAACGTACCACCCTCAAATTTTAATGTATTTAGGGTTTATTCATATTTTGCGTACCAAAAATAGGTTACCAAAAATAAGACATTTTAAAAGAGAAAGTTATTACCTAATTTAACAAAAACAATTCTTGAGTAAAGAACAAAAAAACAGAATATTCAAAAACAAAATTGTAAAAACTTTGTTGTCCCCTTTAATATATCGAGTTTATCCACCTCTAGCACAAATCATGTCCGTTAAATGCCTTTGCATTCCTTGGAAAATATTTCTTGTTAAATCCTAAATAATTCTTTCCCATTTATCATGAACAGCCGTTTCCAATTCTCTTTTGAGAGCAAACAAGGTGTGCAGTAAACCCTGTGCTACTGCACACTGGCCCATCGTTGGCCAGTGTGTGGTTGGACTGGACGAGCACGTATTCAGCCCAAGATTGCCAAAGAACTGGTCACTATTGATGGCAGCCATCTTTATGCCATTAAAGCGTAGAGGAGTTATTAAATTTGGCCATTATCAACGGTTAAGAATAACTGGATCATTACATATTACAAATTCAAATTTTCACTTCTGAGAAAATTTTCCTTCCAGTCTGAGCTGTGGTTTTCCCATTTGTGGCAATAAAAATACCATTAAATGATGAAATTGCACTATTTTTCTTACAATTTAAATTAACTGATCGGTGGCTGTAACAGTTTAGGTGCATTGACACAACGCTCATCACTGTAAGGTCCCGGGTTCGAACCTGACATACAAATGGGCTTTTTTCAAAAAATTATTATTATTAACCATAATGATCGGAAAATAATCAAGGTATATATTTTGGGTGTCACATATTGGGTTGGTATATAATTCTGGTATGTGTGGAGTATTTAATGAGTCTTTAACTGGTCTAATCCTTCGATTTTAAGATATTTAGATTAGATGTACATAGATAAAAAATAGTTTTTAAAAATCTATCAATTTGATTCTGTTTTTTTATTTACATTTTTTTTTTTTTTCAGCTTGATAATATCAATTTTGAACGAGGACCCATTGGAAAGAGCACCAACTAATGTACCCGAATTTTAATTGATAAAACCGCAATGGATTTATTTACTGATATATGGGGTATAGTTATCGGTTGGTTAGAAAGCACATTTACGACATGGGCTGGCATATCATTTTCCAGCATTTTTGGTCAAGTGCCACAGCATTATTTGTTTTTAATTTATCATTTCTTACTCCTCGTAATGATAGCCATTGCGACGTCTATGTTTATCGCTTTCATTTGGCAAAACAAGATGAAAGGCATGTCGAAAGATTTGAACAGATTGAGGCGTGTTCTTCTAGTCACAGCGCATCCGGATGACGAGTGTATGTTTTTTGGACCTACAGTGCTTCAGTTGTTGAAAACCTCGAATCTATACCTGGTTTGCCTCAGCTCTGGGGATTACTACGGAGAAGGCCACGTAAGGAGGGAGGAGCTCTGGGCTAGCTGTGCGACACTGGGGATCAATCCCAACAACATCCAACTCTACCATCATGACGCACTTTTGGACGATCCTATCGGAGAATGGAACGACATATTAATAGCGAATATTATTTTATCTCAAATTGAGACACTAGCCATCGACATGGTGATATCATTCGATGGAAGCGGTGTCAGTGGACATAAAAATCATATATCCATTTATAAAGGTTTAGAATATCTAAGGACAAATAACATGTTGCCAAATGACTGTGAATGCTATGCTCTAAATACAGTCAGCATATTGAGGAAATTCTTTGGTGTCATGAACATTTTGTTTGACATTTCGTTTTCTTCTTATGTACTAACCTGTTCTTACAAAGAGCAACAAATCATAAAATTGGCCATGTCTAAACACGCATCACAATATATTTGGTTCAGAAAAGTGTTTATGTTCTTCTCACGCTACACGTACATTAACAGCTTCACCCGTACAAGTTGACATTAAATAACGTAGCTCTTGTACATTCAAAGAAGACAAAATAATTCTGGTGAACCAATGCTTCCATCATCCTCAGTTTAACGCGTTCTTTGATAAAACCTTTAATAAAATTGGTCTTTCCATTTTGTACACAATTTTTATTATGTACTGATTTGTTTTTATGATGTACTTTTCTACCTCTTTGTAATTCTTCCATTGAATGATTTTTCCTAAATGTAACATGTATTAAAGATAACATTTTAACCTTTTGCCAATAATTATTTTCTTTAGTTTTATTCCATCTTACACACAAGTGGGCCTAATGAACATAACTGAAAAGAAGGTTGGACGTAAAGCTAAAGGAATGCCAAAGGAAAATCATATTTATATTTTTGATTTTTATAATCTTTATTATTTAAAAGCAACAGTAATTAATGAATATGCTATGTTGTAAGCTAACATTTCAGCATAGTTGCCTATCTGAAATGGTAGCAATGTTACTTAAATTTCAGCACAGTTGATGGAACAAGGGGGTAAAAGGGCCAAACTATACCCTAGACCCCTTTGGACCCAACAATTTTTTCAACAAGGTACACGCAATATGCGCACAGGATTTAGTAAAGAAAAATATGAAAGGTGCACAGATTTACTCTGTCAGGCAAGCCATAAAGGTACTAAATGTGTTTGCTTTCAGCTCCAAATTAATCTGGAAGTGTCTAAATTGTCTAAAGGCTCTAGGAAAACAACAAGATAATGTTACAAATTGTTAAGGGTCATGAAGGTATACAGGAAATGAACAGGCTGACCAACTAGCCAAAAAAGGTCCTCTCGCCCACGGGACTGGAACTGCTAAGTGCATCGGAATGTTTTCTTAGGTTAGAACAGGAAAAATGGCTTGAGAAAGGAAAAACAAAAGCAGCAGGTATGAGGCAAGATTTATAAATTTCTCAAAAATAAAGTCGAAGGAACTCCTCTCTCAGCTGTCCTGGATTTGAGTAAAATTATAGGCCCCTGTTCTGGCCGCCGCCCTCTTAACTATCACCTAGACCAAATAGAAGATGGGCAAAGCAAAGACAGAAACATAATGAATATGAATGTGAAGCGTTAGCCCGGTTATGATACAGCCACTTCGGTAAGGCATTTTCACACCAAAAGAGGTGTGTGAAGAGGCACTGAGGAAAGTGCTTTGGCCTGTAGGAATGTTTTCTCTGCGATCTTGAAGACTTTTTAAATTAGTTATTCCCAAGTTTTTGAAATGAAGTATAGACCAAAGAGCTACCAATCAAATTTGTAGGCTAAATGAGGATTTTAAATTCCCAGTTGGAGAATACAGCACTTGTCAAGGCCAAGATTAAGGCCCAAAAGTAGCGGCCAGTAAAAAATTCAATGATCATTTGTTCAATTGGTGCAGTCGGTTTTACAAATAACTTGGAATCATCTGCAAAAATGCTGATTTCACTGAATTAAAGGATGAATAGAATTGGATCCAAGACCGATCCTTGTGAAACTCCACTAAGCTCTGTAAAGCAAAACTACACAGAAGGTGTGCCTCTTTTTATTCCACATATATAAGCATAGTATATATTGTCTATGATGCTTTCTAGTTAAATCAATATGCATAATAGACCTACTGTGGATCTTGTTTTTATGGTGAATAATAAAAAAGGAATATAAGCAATAGTACACAGAAGGTGTATTTTTTGTTTTTATGCTGAATATAAAAGCATAGAACATACTCTGTCAAATTTGCTTTTATGCTAAATCCATAAGCATAATAGACCAACTGGTATGTCTTGTTTAATGCTGAATACATAAACTGTAGTACTTGGAACATTATTTACATCCCTCTTTTTCTTCCAAACATGTAAGCATAATACTGTCTACTATGCTGTTTAGCTACATTGATAAACATAATAACCCATCAGATTATGCTGAATAATAAAAAGAAGGAAAAGAAATAGTACAAAGTAGGTGTGCTTCATTATTATGATAAATATTAGCACAGTACATACACTATCAAGTTTGCTTTTATGCAAAATCCATAAACAAAAGTACACAAGGTGTGCCTTGCTTTTATGCTAAAATTTTAAGCATAGTGCATACCCTGTCCTTTGCTTTTATGCAAAATCCATAAGCAACAGTACACGTAAGGTGTGCCTTGTTTTTATACTAAAATTTTAAGCATAGTACTTACACTGTCAACTTTGCTTTTATGCAAAATTCATAAGCAAAAATACACGTAAGGTGTGCCTTGTTTTTATGCTAAAATTTTAAGCATACTGCATACACTGTCAACTTTGCTTTTATGCAAAATCCATAATCAAAACTACACACAAAGTGTACCTTGTTTTTATGCTAAAATTTTAAGCATACTGCATACACTGTCAACTTTGCTTTTATGCAAAATACATAATCAAAAGTACACATAAGGTGTACCTTGTTTTTATGCTAAAATTTTAAGCATAGTGCATACACTGTCAACTTTGCTTTTATGCAAAATCCATAATCAAAAGTACACATAAGGTGTACCTTGTTTTTATGCTAAAATTTTAAGCATACTGCATACACTGTCAACTTTGCTTTTATGCAAAATACATAAGCAAAAGTAGACGTAAGGTGTGACTTGTTTTTATGCTAAAATTTTAAGCATACTGCATATACTGTCGTTTGATTTTATGCTAAATACATAAGCAATAGTACGTTTTGTATATTTTTATTGTTTCATTATTATTATTTTACTATATTTATAGCAATAAGTTTATTATATGTACATGTAAGGAGGCTTAAATCCTTATTTGTACTTTTAAAACAAATAATAAATAAATAAATTTTTCACTTGGTTGATTTTTAATAGGACAATTGAGCGCACGCATACTAGGATTTTTATTGAATTGCTTTTGATTCGATTTTTTTATTATTATGTAGATATCGCGAACTGGAAGTACTTGGTACTGGTACTGAGTAAGGACAAGGACGTAGGTGCGTTTGATCGTTCGTGTGCAGCGTGCGGTGTGCCATCGAGCTCGAGCCTCAGCCGGTTATCTTTGATGCCCCCTCGGCGGACATGCGCAGAATCCGGGAGCTAAAAAGTTGCAGGCGACGTCTCTAGCTGTGCCTGTATCGTTTAGTGTCCGGTGGTGGTGAGGATCTCGCGACTCTCGTAGATCCGTCGATTTGATAATGTCCGAGCTGCTCTGTCCGTGGACGGGCTCCACTCGCTGGAACGTCCCGAGGAGAGACTGCAGTTAAAGGACGACAAATGTGATCGTTTAGACTGCGCGTAGTATTATAGTGCCATGACAAGGTAGTGCTGCCAGATACCGAACTGTTTTGGGACTCTACTCCGGATAACCTTCGATCTCGTTATGCGACAAGTCCAGCGGTGTACATCTGAATTCTCTCCTATTTAATCCGTTTTCCGAGTCGGATCCTCTGCAGACGAGATGACTAACGCCGCGAAGGCCCCGTTGGCGGTCCAGTTGAAAACTCTCGACGTACCTAAATGCATGGTCGATGGAGAAAAAGTCATAAAATGGGACGAGGTATGAGAAATTTTACATTTCCGACCCTCGGTTTTTCTACCTTTTTTTATATTTTTCTTCTAACCCAAGCCCTCAGGCGGATCTTCTGCAGATTATTACCTACCTGTTGAAGCTTTTAATTTTGTATGCGATGAAGCCCCGAGACTTTCCGTCTTCGTTGACGACACTTGTTGAATTACGATCGAATTCGACCCAGCCCCGGTCTTTTCACCTTCCTTCTTTTTCAAAACCGTCTTCGTTTAATTGACCCGAGTCGTTCTAAATTTTCTTCCGCCCTTTCTGTTTATTTACCGGTCCCCCCTTTAAAACTGGTTAAAATAAAAATTTTAAACGGGGCCAAATAAAGCAGATCGATCTACCATCACCCTATTGACACAACGGTTTGTTTCATATTCTAACAATTCCCATGGAATTTTTTACTATTTACAAAAAAAAGATTCAATGAACTTATTCAATACGAACCGTAAAAAAGATCGAAGTTCATTTCTTCAATAATACAGAAGAAGAAAGATGAATCATCAATCATCACTGAATATGCACCGTCTCCAAGTCTAGCTGTAAGCTTCTGGCTGATAAGAAGATAAGCCATATGCCAATTTTTAAAATAAGCGTTTTCCACCATCGTAAATGGAAAAAATACTCTCACTCACTCGTTCTCTCCCTCTTTTACTCACTCACTCACTAACACTCTCACTCTATCTCTCTCCCACTGCACTCTCCGTTATTCACTACCTCTCACACTCTTTCTCTCTTTCACTTACACTATTTCTCTTCCTTGCACTCTGCATTTTTCATTGTATCTCACCCACTGCCTCACTTGCTCCGTCTCCCTCACCCCTCTCACTCCCTCTCCCCTCTCACTCTCACTCTCTAACTCTCACTCTCACTCCCTCTCTCTCCCCTCCCACTCCCTATCTAACCTCTCTCACTCCCTCTCTCTCCCCCTCTCATTCCCTCACACTCCCTCTCTCTCATTCCCTCACACTCTCCCTCTCTCTCATTCCCTCACACTCTCCCTCTCTCTCATTCCCTCACACTCTCCCTCTCTCTCATTCACTCATTCTCTTACACTATTTCTTATTATGTCACTCACTATATCTATCGTTCACTTACACTCTCACTCATCCACCCTCGCTCTGTCTCACTCCCTCACACTCTCTCTCTGTCTCACTCCCTCACTCTCTCTCTCTCTCTTTCTCTTTCTTTCTCTTTCTCTTTCTTTCTCTCTCTCTCTCTTTCCTTTCTCTTTCTTTCTCTCTCTCTCTCTGTATCTAACTTCTCCCCTCTCTTTTATAACAGATTATTTTAAAGATTTGTCTTTTTTTATTTATAATTTGTGGTTTAAAAAAGGCCATGTGGTTTTTTTTATGTTTTTGCTGTATTTTTATTGATTTAATCCCATGATTTTTCTATTTACATTTGTTTAAAAAACCCACATGGAAATTTAAAACAAAAAACAAATTATAAATAAAAACGGCAATTCTTTAAAATAATCCAATAATCCATGTTACACAATTAAAATTAAATTATTCTGCATGAATCATAAATAAGAAAAGGTGTAATATGTACACTAATTGATTAGTGCAGAATAATTTACACTTCAACTGTAATTAATGAACAAAAAAGGAATAATACCATTTACAAAATTATCATTAAGAAAACAAAAGGACAATAAATATATGACATTTATTTATTGGTTAGTACAGACTGATAATGATTTTATTTGTCTATTTTTTTTTTTTTTAATATAATCCAACTCTGAGGAAGACATAATGTGTGATAAAAATAATATAAACCTTTAATTTATCATCAGAGTTAAAAAATTACGAATAATTTATATTAAATTGCAACTAAATTATAAAAAATGATAGAAACTTTAAATTTAGTTTGTTTATTGTTGGCATTTTATTCAAATTCGTAAGCCGGTGGGCATTATTGAGTGCATTGGGGGAAAAATGATTGCCGATTTCACTTGATTCGGTTTTTATACTAAATTATTCAAAATGAATCTTAAGGGAAAGAAAGTAAGTTTTATTACAATAGTAACACTTATACATCCAATAAATTAGCATACAATTGCAAGTAAAATTCAATGAAATGGATATTTTGAAAAAAGGAAATGGTCAAGTGAGCTATAAAATTTGTTTTTTATGACTGCCCAGCTTTTAGTCCAACTGTAAGCAGGACAATGAATGATAAAAATAAGATAAACTTTTAATTGTCAGCCGATTAAAAAAAAAAAAAAAAGTATGGATAATACATTATATTTGATCTTTATCAATAATTTTTATTTGCCTATCTTTGCTGGGTTGGTATGAAGGTGACAGACCAAAATGATAGGGACCCAATTTCAGGTTGATCACCCTGCATTTAAAACAATATATGTAAGAAATAAGACAAACAATAATTTTTTTCCAATTTATTAAACAACAGGTCAGTTATCAATTGCAAAAAGGATAATGTTAGAGAAATAATTTTTAATTTTCATTAGAGTACTAATTTAAATAATATGTCAACATTATTATAATCATGATAACTTGTTTATACAATCTTTTGATCTTGTTTGTACTTGATTAATAGTCCAACTGAATATTGACAAAATATATGATAGAACAAGCCTAATTAATTTCTCTTGTTGGGTTAAAACAAATCTTAATGTTGTAATTGCATATAAAAAATCAGATCAGGTTATTAATTTTTTTAAAACAAGGGTTTCCAACAGCAGAGGTCATATCAACCCTCAGGGTGGTTTTGTTTTTGAAAAAAAGCCCATTTATAAGTATGTTGGGTTTGAATGCAAGGCCACTGGATTCGAACCCGGGACCTTATGCCCTGACAACAACTAAACTATTGTGGCCACCCCCCCCCCTCGATTGATGTTTATAGTATTACTTAATAAGCTGTTTTTACTTTTACATATTTAAAAGAATTTAAACAACTTAAATTAAGTCATAAGAAAAAGATAGTTTTTTATTTTTGCTAATTAGTTTTTAATTCAGTGCAATTATTCCTTTGAATATTAAAATATTCACCCAACCCAAAACTAGTAAACATAATTAAATGAAATTGACATTTAAACCTAGAATTACAGTCATTTTGTCTGGTTTCGTTCATTATTAAAGTACAACAAATAAAAGAACATAAATAATAAGGTAGACTTATCACATAGTATTAAAAAAAAATCTAAAACAATGGAAATAATGGGTTTGAACAATTATAATTGGCTGTTAGTCTTACTTCATAGGGAAATTTTGTTTGAATATTTAAAAACATGTCGAAGAATTAATGCTGAATTATTCAACATTTGGTTTCAGCTAAATTTGTAAAAACAGCACTTTGAAAAACAACAACTATTTTGTGTGTGTATTGTTGTAACCAAGAAAATAAAGGTTTATTACATTCAGTAATTAGTACTGAATTCAGACAAAATTACTTCTTTATGGGAATATAAATATACATTTAAAAAAAAATACAAATACAATTCAAAATATATTTCTAAAAGGAGAAATTCTTGGTTCAGGCTAGCATATCACTTATGTATATCCAGCTTGTTTATTATTAATCCATAGCACAGTTATAAAAGATTGATGTGCTTTTCATTATGCCCTACTTTTGTCAGAAGAAAAAAAAATGGTTTGAATGTACATTTTCTGTATATCCAGTTTGCTTATAAAACAGGGGTTGGGCAGTTTTAAAACAATATTAACATTTTTTTAAACTCCTATTGACATTTAGTTGAAATTTATATCCTGGTGAGCCTAAACTTTTACTCTGAAATTAATATCAATCGATGAAAATGTCTCAACTAATCAAATAATCCTTTCTGGTCTCGACAAATGGCAAAAAGTTTGATGATAGATTGGAATAATTGATTTTGTCATTATTTCTTATGCAAATATTTTTTTCGTTGTTTATAAAACATTCATTGAATTTAAAAAATTGTCTTAATAAATTTATTTAATTCAGACTAATTACTGCATATAAATTAACACACATGCTCATTGTACATTGTAGCTTATTTATCTATACAACTATATGCAAGATTTAAGGGCTGATAAAAAAACTTAAACCCATAACTACTATCTTCTTTCAAAAACGAACATATCTCAAAGAATAAATCATTCATATCTTTTGTATATATACAGTTATCTGTTTTCAAATACCACCAAGTTAAGTACATAATTACGGCAAAAATGTTGTAACAAAAGTATCATCTTTAATCTATCATTACTTTCTACAATTGGCTCCTAGCCTTGTAAAAATTAAACCAATATTTTTATTCAGATATGCTACATTTTTGTGATGAATGTATACAAAAATTACGACACAATTCCAAATATACATATTTTGAAGGAGGGGAAAAAAACAAACTATTAGGTTCAAAGTAGCGTATCGTCCAAATCCGGTTTGTTTATTATTAAGCTATAAAAATGATGAAAAAGATGATAAAAATAAGATAAACATTAATTATGTGCTACTTATTGATAATAAATAAATAAAAATATTTAAAAAATAAATCACTGGTTTTGAGATAACATATCTTTTGTCTGTATTTATTTGAAAAAAATTAAAAACAATCATAAAAACTGTGTCGTAATCCAAATTTTCGCTTCGAACATTTCAGTAATCCGAACAGGAAAAAAAAATTCAAGAAGTGAGATTTTTAAAAGAAACAAATGAAACATAATTTGGAAGGGGTGAGAGTGATAGAGAGAAAAAGAAAGAGATATTATGAATGAGGAAGAATGTGTGAGTGAAAAATAAAAGAGAATGTGAGTAAGTGAGTGAGAGTGTTGAGTGAGTGAGGGGTCATACGAAAGACCAAGACTACACGGATTTTCGAGGATTTCTTTTCTTCAATGAATCCCTTTCTCTGTTCTCTACCAAAAAATGAAAGATGAGTCCACATTCTTCTGGCGTTAAGTGTACCTACTGCCCAAAAAGGACAGAAAAATAGGAAGAAGCAATCAAGAAAATGCAAAATAAATTAAAAAAAAAATTTAAAAAGAAAAATTAACATATGTACTCTAATAGGTTTAATGTTTTGTGTTTGCAAAATAATCCAGTTTTCTGTTAAAATTGTTTTTTGTACATTTTGTATTTTTTAACACCTTCCGTAATTCAAATTTTTCAGTAATCTGAACTAATTATTGTAGAGACTAGATATTCGATTTCTGAGAAAGCACTGTGCTTCACCCGATTTTTAAAATATACAAAGGAGATCATTAAGTGTACAATTAGCTTCTATGTATAAATGTATATGTAAATGTTCTATGTAAATAGTAAAATATATGTAAAGTAATTGGCGGCTTGATTACAAGTTTTCACCCTGCCTACTCGTCTAATTGATGTAATTTGGGTCACTATATGGCCAAAACGGACCAAACCCCCTAGTTTTTATATGGCTCACATTGTCTCATGGGGGCTGGGCAAAACAAAAATCCACTTTTTTATTCCATGTCCTCTTGAAAGTTCGGCATATATATTACATATCGAGTCTAATTTTGGTCACTTCCACCTTTTGCTATCCAATCATCCAAAATCGGCCTATTCTGAAATTTATTAATAAACAAAATTGTATTGAATTTTAAAATTTATTCCATTGATTTAAGAAAATGAGATTAATATACATTTTAAAAATATATTAATCTACTATAATCAAAAATAATAAATCTAGATTATAAAGACTGTAAGCTTTTCTAACTTTTTATTTTTTACGTAGATGCGTTTTGAGGCTCTTTTTGCCTCCTCTTCAGTACGTTTTTATTTTGAGTGTCAACAGACGGCTGACTGGGACAACAGACAACAGCCTGGAGTCGTCTGTTGACACTCAAAATAAAAATGTACTGAGGAGGAGGTGGAAAGAGCCTTGAAATGCATCTACGTAAAAAATAAAAAGTTGGAAAAGCTTACGGAGTCTTTGCCCTGATTCTCATCCATATCCAACAAAAAGAAAAGCGAAAAACAATAAATCTAATTTTTTTTCTTTTATTTATTTGTGTATTATTTAAGCTTATGTTTTTCTCCAAGGTCAAAATTCTATGAAATAAAAATTAAATATAATCTTAGTTGATCCCATTTCTCTATTGTTAAAACAATAATGATGACGTCAGGGGATGTTGTTACAAAGAAGATAAACTCATAATTACCTAGATACACAGCTTTATTTATTATTCAACTATATAAAAGATAGTGACAATAAGATAAGCTTTTAATTAGTTGCTGTTTGATGACTGAAAAGAAGATAAACCTATAATTAACTACCGTTGACACGTTATTCAAATTAATATGCTAAGTGAACGTAAACTATTACTCTGATATCATTAGGCAAAAAGGGAAATGACTTTCCTAAAGTAATTAAATTTTATCCTTCGACTAAAAATATACTATTGTAAAAGCTTGCTGTATGAGTTATAAAAATAACGTGAATTGCTAATTTTTTGTTGTTGTTGTGTGTGTGCTATTTTTCAAGTAATTGGAACCGCCAAATTTTTCTTCAAATTGGTTTATTTTTATTCATCATGTTTGAACCAGGATCAATAAAAATGAATAATAAACCAAGATTTTTTTATTTATAGGAGCCAATTTTTTCCAAGATAATGAATGAATAAATTGTTATTTCAAAAAATAAATCTAACTTATTGAAATATTAATTTATTGGGTTTGAGCTAACACATATTAACTGGGAAAGTTAAAAAAAAATTATAAACTTTCAATTAGCTGCCATATCGTTGACCCATTATTTATAAATAATACAAAGAGACTACTAAATGAGCCAAAAATTATATTCACACAATTGGATAGGCAAAATTAATTAAAATTTAAATAAACTATTGCAATAACATGAACATTAAGAATTATGTGTGGTGTTTAGCGACCATTAGTTAATGATTATTTAGAGTAACAATCGTTAAACAATTAAATAATTAAAAAAAAATTCAAGTATATTTTAAGTAAAATTATTGATGCTGTAAAATTTAACTTCTTTTGTGATAAGTATAGTATTTTATTTATAAAAATGTAAGATTTGGTGGAAATGTGTGTGTGCATACATACACCAACAGCAGACAAACATCAAAAATAAAAGTCCTTTTAATATATATAAAACCACATTTATTGTAAATTTTAATTGATACATTTTTTTGTTATTCAGGATTCAGGTGTTGGGACTCCAGTTACACTGCGGGTCGACAAAAATGGATTTTATCTCTATTGGCTGGACCAGAACAAGGTATGGTTTTTTTTTCATTTTTTTTTCAAAGTATCAGCATAAAAAACATGTGGTCTTATAAATTTGAATTTTGTCGTACTTGGTCGCATTACCACATTATTTTCCAATCATTTAGTTTTTCTAAATTCGGAAATCCAATCGGATGTGTCAGATCATTCTTTATCAATTCGTTTTGCCCATGGCACGTTTCCAAACTTGAAAAATAATCAGCATTCTTCGTGGTATAAAATTTTCCAAACGCATGTTTAACAATTGAAACATAAAATTTTGTAATTTCTTACAATAGGAAAAAAAGGTCAACAGTGAAACCGGGTTTCAGTGGGACCTGTTTCCTGTGTCAAATGAAGAACATAGAGGATGCCGTTCATTACTGTTGTGTAATGGGGCACAAATTGATTTAAAAACAAAAGTCACAAAGAATAACATTACAAATCAATCTCATTTATCTTTATTTTAATTTTATTTTTTAATTCATTATCCCAATATTTATTACATTTGTTATTTTAGGGTCATTACAAAAATGTAAATGATTTTTTAAAATAATTGTCATGTATATATTTAATTTTTATATAGAAATGAAACATACAAGTGCAAACTTGATAAATTCTCCTTTTATATTTACATTTACTTGCAAGTCTTACTCTAATTTTTGAATTAATCTGATTTTTAAGTGCATAGAATTACAAATACAAATTAGTTATTCATTTATTTACTTAGATATTTTTGAAGAAGAGTTAAATTATATATAATTTTTTCCCTGTAGGAAATGGATTTGCTTGATATTGCTACTATTAGAGACTGTAGGACTGGAAAACAAGCTAAAATACCAAAGGTGAGCTTATTTATAAGTTACCATTGCTGATATTTTTATTAAACATTTTTAACAATTGAAATAAATTTTTTATATACTGTATAGAATTTACCTAGGGACACAATAGAAAGAGGCATGATTGTTTCAGTGGTTGGAGATAGACGGTATGTGGTGTGACATGACAGCGGTTTCCTCTTTAACAGATATGTCCCACTAGTGATATTATCATGTTCCATTTTGCCCCTGTGACAATTTCAAAAAGAAATATGACGTCACAATATGCTCAGACAAAGGTCGTTCTGACATCAATTTTCACTGTTTAATCTGTCATAACTTGTCACATTTTGAATTGTCTGTTAATTGTTTTTTCTGTTTGTACTCGTGTTATGCACTTTGATTTGGGTATTATGTACCGACGATATGATAACAAAATATTTGACATGCATTGTCACAAGTCGGCGAAATGACACAATTTCAATTCTCTGTTTGTTCATATTTAATTATGTCAGTGTCAAATCAAATATTACATAATTAAGAAAATACTTTTTTCAACATTGTTTCAAACAAAGAATAAATTTTTTTTTTCATACACAACTTTTCTTTTTTCATATACTACAACTGAAATTTCTTTCTTCATACATTAAAACTTCATTTTCTTTTTTCTTGCACTACAACTTAATTTTATTTTGGATGCACTACAACTTTACCCTTTTTAAAAAGATAGTTCCACTCACAGTAAAACTGTGTGAGTAACCTCATAGTAACTCACTGTTAGTAGGAACTATCTTTTTAAAAAGATTTAACAACACACTCACTCCACCATTTATCTTTTCTACAACTTTACTGTCTTCATACACTACAACTTAGTTTTCTTTTATCGTACACTACAACTTAATTTTCTTTTTTCATACACTACAACTCTACTCTCTTCTTACACTACCACTTAATTTTCTTTTTCATATACTACAACTTAATTTTCTTGCTTCACACATTACTGTTTTCTTTTTTTCATAAACTACAACTTATTTTTGTTTTTTCTACGCTCCAACTCAATTTTTTTTTCACACACCACATCTTCATTTTTGTTTTTCATACACCACAACTTAATTTTCTTTTTTCTACACTACAATTTAATTTTCTTTGTTCATACACTACAACTTAATTTTCTTTTTTCATACACTACAACTTAATTTTATTTTTTCATACACTACAACTTAATTTTATTTTTTCATACACTACAACTTAATCTCCTTTTTTTTTTTTTAAACAGAAAGTACATAATTTTATTTCTTCATACATCGCAACTTAATTTTTTTTCATACATTACAACTTAATTTCCTTTTTTCATTCACTACACCTTAATTTCCTTTTTACATACACTAAAACTTAATACTAATATGTAGGATCAGGAAAGGTGGTAACTTTGAAACAATTCGACTAATCTATAGGGGCTTTTTACAGTTTTCAGAACTATAAACTACACAGAGAGCGTTCAATATCTTACTGGACATTTCTCTATTCGACTTATCACGAGTTAACATCTAACAAACATCGTGAATAATCATTGTGAATCTTTTGGATTCTGCAAAAATAAGTAAAACATTTAATGAGTGTCTGTTGATTTCATCCTTATTTTTCTGGTAGTTCTTGTAAGGTACTTATAAAAACTAAAGGTTGATTGATAATAGACTCAAAGAAGGTAAATGCAGTTATCGAACAGTTTTAATGCTATAAAATCTAGAAGAGTTAAGAATTTGTAAAAAGGACCCTGGACATCGGAGAAAAAAAATTTCCCCTGGATGTCTCAAAATTTCCTTTTATTGTGTAATATTTAGTGCAGCCACCAATGTCCGTAAAGCACCCTTTAAACCCATAAAATATGAATTTTCAACACAATAAAAAGATGATAATTTAGAGATCGTGAGATGCGGCCTAATATGGACTCCACATTAGACCGCATCTCATGATCTGTAAATTATCATCTTTTTATTGTGTTGAAAATTCATATTTCATGGGTTTAAAGGGTGCTTTATGGGCATTAGTGGCTGCAACAGGTATTGCATTGATACGGTGCTCATCACTGTACTATGGTAAGGGTAAAGGTCTTGAATAGTTTAAAAATAACTTAAAAAAAGGTGCTTAAAACCTGTATGATTTTTTTGCCTACTTTACTGAAATGTCTTCATTTTTGTAACTTTTTTATAATATTGTCTAATATGAACTTGCATATTATTTTCTTATCATAAATTAAAAAAAGGAGAAAAAGAATTAAATATACCTTCAAATACATACACAACAAAGGCAGAAACCTGTACTTTAAAAAGAATATGTAAATTAAAAAAAAAAGTCTCAGCTCCTAGGACTATTGGAAAGAATGCATTTCAAGTATTTTTTGACCTAATATCAATAAAAACATTCCATTTAAATAGGTGACTTGACCAGCCACCAGAGCCCATCCTTCTCAGATTAAAAATTAATCATCTTTAATAACAGTAAAACTATAAATCTAAATGTATTTCTCTTACCTTAAATAAGATAATAATGATTCTTTGAATTATTTTATGATACACACGACAATAAATTGTGATTATTATTACAAATTTTTCTATTTTTAGGATCCTAAGCTCAGACTTAACGTCACGATGGGCTCTTCTCAGGACTTACTGGAGGATAAGACTGTTACTTTATGTCATGGTTCGGATTTTGTGAACTTAACATTTATTAATTTCTGTTGCACAAAAAAGGAAACTGCACAAGTGAGTCTTTCAGCGTTTCTGTGCTTGACTGAAGAATATTAATTAAATTTATCTTTTATGTTTATTAGTTATGGACGGATGAATTATTAAAATTGGCATTTAACTTATCTCAACTGAATGGATCTGTTATGAAATTTTTGCTCAAGGCGCATACAAAATTGCAGCTGAGTGTAGATAAGTCATCAAAAATTCCTATCAAAAAGTAGGTAATTCATTGTTTTTAAATTGGGTAGTTTTTTCTAAATGATTTTTTTTTACAGTATAATCAAAATGTTCACACAAAATAAAGAGGACAGGAAGAGAGTGAAAACTGCTCTCGAATCGGCGGGAATATCGACGGCAAAGGTAAAACAACCAAATCTCTCACTTTTAATACTTCACTCAAAAACACTTTTGGTGCCTCATGCTCAAAAATTTCACAATATCTCCCTTTAATATCTTCTTAAAGGAGAAGTCGGAAGCACACACTAATATTAGTAGCACCAGCACTGCTATATATAATAATAAAGCCAACAAATGTAGTTGAACCTTAGAGTAACGAACATGTAGATAATGTAAAAACGTATATAACTATGCCTGGGAATGTGCATCAATATTAAAAATGGTGATGTCTTTCTTTCAAGTTAGTTGTTGGAAACGTCATAGTTGACTAGATATGATTATTCTTTTATTTCTTTAGATACATTTTTTCTCACCTTTCTCATTATTTCAGATCAATTTGATACAAAAAGAAATCATACTTTTGATCTAATTCTTCTTTTCAGTTTAAGGTTTTTAACCAATTGTTTTTGAGCCAGGACTTGTGAACATAATATACGCCATTGGAACTCAATTTAAGTAGGGGCTGATTTTTCGTAAGTACTATATGGGCAAGATCATCTATGTCCAGCCATTTTTAGAAATCTCACTCAATTTAGTTAATGTAAAAATATCAAATTGAAAATTTTAAAACTACAAAATTATACATTTAAATTGGACTTAGAGTAAATTTACAACAGGGCTATGGGCCACATTTTATTCCTTAATTTAGTCAAATTGAATTTCAAAATTGTTCCTTGTATTTAATATAATATTAAATTATACAAGCTAAAATGTGTTCAATGCTATTTATGTGCTATCAACTTTAAATGATAAATGTGAAATAATAAGTAGTAAAAAAGTAGAATTCACAGCAAAATTAACACAAAATATTTAACCCTTAGGCTAAGGCCACACCGAAGGTGTCGCAGTTGGTGCCTAGTTATCTAAAGACTCCCATGGTGATACATTCTTGAACAACAACTTGAAACATTTGAGAATGACCACTTAGGGCGTGATGAACAGACTAGTCAGTTTTTTTTCTTGTGTGTTGCACACTGACTTTTAAATTTTGATCATAAATGATATCGCATTAATAGCGATGTTTGCTGCTGAATCGACCCCACCTTATAAAAATGTAACAGTTCTAAAAAAAAAATGTGGGAAGATTACAAGGGAAATTTGCCATTTTTGCTTCTCTCGCAATTAATATGGTGCACTCAGCAATAAGTTACCTTTTGCAATCGTTCACATTTCCACAAAATATTTTCTGCCAAAGGCTTTTTTCTAGTCTATTTTCAACAATCAATCGATACGATTGTAGTAACAGGCTGTGGATGTTTTAGCTAAATAAGCATTTACACATTAGGTACCTTTTAGTCATAAGGTAACTAAGCGCCGTTATCAACTCCGTGTGGCCTTAGTCTTAACTCCACAGGGTGGTCTAGGCCACAGGTCTCTCAAATACATATATTTCTAAATTAATAGGACTATTTTGGATTAAAAAAAAAAATATAATGATGTACCTGCATATGAACATGATTGCGGGCTATAAATACGTATGCAGATTTAATAATAACTAATAATTCAACCAACAACTGTAGTTTACAAACTGGTAGGAAACGTTTTCAACAGAACATTATCAAAGTCAATCTTCACGAATTTGAAGAACTCAGGGTTTTTGGGTAGGTCTGCCAATTTCGGCAGCCAACGCACTCCCCTCGCGACGATATCCTTGAAAGTCACGTCGCTGCGGCTCAAAATTTGGGCAAGATATATGATAGTTTGGGAGACAGTGGCATGTATTGTCCTCAATTAAATTGTACTGCTTCAAGTAAGCCTTATTTTTCCCATGGCCACTGGGAACTTGCGATATCTTCCAGTTAGTTTGGAATTAGTGCTTTCAGGCGAGACGAGATGGTTGGAAAAAACCTTTTGTGTGGGATACATTGATGGATGTGAATCATATTTCTTCCCACTTTTCTTTCATTTCCCGGGAGCCGCCTGGATGTAAGGTGTGGGAACATGGTGTGGAATGACATTTGCAAAGTTTCGTCTAGAGCAGCCCTGATGATTGATTCCCTCGATGGCCAATATGTGCTTTAATCCACACTGTGTTCCTTGCTGGCTGTGAAACCAGGAATCTGATGCCTTCATTGGTCCTCACGTTGTTTCTTATGTTTTTTATTGCCCATATTACTGCGTTGCATTAGGACTGACCGATGTGCTTTAGGCAGAGAAGGGGGGTACAATAGCTCTTAAAAGGCGCAGTATACCATACCCTGAAAAATTACATCTACGTGCCTGGTACGTTACACAATTACAACCAGTCGATTGCTAGAATCTCAACCTGGTTGTTTGAGCACATTCAAGAAAACATTTAAGAATGTAAATATATTTAGTGTCCATGGTTGTTGATGAATTAGCATAATTATTTTAATTATTAATAATTATTCTTGGGGATTAACGTTCATTTAACCGTTAGGTGTTGTGGACAAGGGGTCAAACCTCTTCACAATACATTTTTCATACCATTGTAATTTAAAAAACCATGGGCACTGCTGGCCGCCAGAACAGCTAGTGGGTAAATACATTTCAGATGCCCTAACCACTCAGCCACTGTGGTCCCCTTATATTACCTTATAATAACCAACTCTACATCTTTCCATCTTGCACTAAATATTTATAAATAAGCAACAACAAAAACAAATATATATTCTGAAAATTGCTCTGTACGTAAACAATGTAAATCTACAACTGAGTCCACTTGGCAGACAAGAGGCTAAAAATCAGAAAGACAGTAGGGTTGATGGAGTTGGTAGAGGGTTTGGAAGGGCCAGGTTGGTGGTAGATGAAGGTAGGACATTCCCGATGAAACATAGATATTGTGGCTAAATGTTTTTTTTTCTCACTTTCACAAAAGTTTAAGAGAGAAGCGAAATTGTGAATAGAAAGGGGAGAAAATAAGGTACAAAACCACGAGGATGAGATAACTTGTCACTGGGTCCTGGGGAAGGTGTCACTAATAGCAAGACGATTAAAAATGATTGGGTGGTGGGTCAATTGTTAAGGCACACACTAAGCAAATCTTGGCCAACGAAAGACAACAAATATATTAGGCTGAACATCGTCCATGCTTGGCTCATCCTCATCAGACCCCAAGGGATTTGGCCATGTGGAATCACAGTCAATGTCAATCCTTTTGATGTTACCACCAGAAGTCTTTGAAGTTTTTTAATTTTTTAAATAAAACAGTTTTATCAAAAATTCAAAACATAATTTGTTTTTCTCAAGAAGGTACTTAAGTCTTTGTTAAATCTTACTGTTAAATATTATATAAACAATACATATTTCTTAAAACATTTCTCTTTTCATCATATAAGAGTTGTAGCAACAACAGTCAATGACCGAGTACTTCTTAAGAGAAAGATCGAGTCAATAAGCACTGAACTAGCGAACTAGAAATGTTTTTAGTACCTGGTAATAAGCCAGAAGGCTGCCGTGCTTGGAGAACATAAAACCCCCATTTCCTAGTATACATCATAATCATAATAGTACACAAGCAAATTTCAACCAACAAAAGACAACCAACTACTTCATTGGCCCTGATTTGCGTAGTGTGCACGGGAGGCGAATCAGAGCCAACGAAGCGGTTGGCCTTGTTGGCCAACAAATTTAAAAATGTTTAAAACTGTCCACTTAACAAAATTACATTGTTTTTATTAATAATACAAGGCGAAATGCGATTTCAATTTGATTGTAAATTAAGTAAGAAAACGGTAGTGCCTTCCCTGATTATTGGGTCCACTTTGTAAACGCAAGATATTCCAAATATTAATCGAACAGCCCGTTTTAAATTAACATTGAATGCACAAAACGAGAGGGTTTACAGATTTAAAAACTAAAAGATTGTCTAAATCATAATTCATAAGTTTTTTTAAAGATATTCCATTAAATAAAAGTGTTTTCCATTTAGAGAAACTACTTAATTTAATCAATGATGATTTATTTGCTCGCTTGCCTTTTTGATTTAAGAAAAGGTAAATTTGGTTAAACTTTATTTGAAAATAAATCAAAATTCACATTTTGTGGATTTTATAGACATTAAAAAGAATATAACATAATACAATTATGTTGCACATAAAATAGCTCGAATAATTTTTTAATCTAAATCACTTTTTTTTATTTAATCACAAAAAAGCCTGTACTTTGTTCTTTAAATTTAATTGTTAAATAATTAGAATCATGATCCAATCCATGTATATTTGTTCAATACGTACTGTTATATTTTCCCCTAGTAATAGCACATTCTAGTCAGTGTGGGAGAGTGTGTGTCTGTGTTTTATCAGAGACATAAAAGCTGTAAAATTAAAATAAAAAATAGAAAAAATAGTTTATGAATTGTATTTCAAAGATTAAAGGATAGAGAGAGAGAGAGAGATAAAGATAATTATGAGATCTTGTGGAATTAAATAATAATAATGATAATAAATGAATAAAATGATGGAATCAAAAGTGTCTTAGATAAAGTCTAAAATTAAAATTTTAAAAATTCCTTTTTTTTCTTTAAAATTTTGTTTTATTAATAGGATGAGGTGATATCACCGGAAAAGTTTTCATTTGAGGAGTTTTTCAATTTCTACAAACACTTGACCCAGAGGACTGAAGCAGAGAAAATATTTGAAGAATTGTAAGAATTTAAAAAAATATATATATTAAATAAAACATAATTTAAAATTTTTGTTTTAGGTGTGGGTCGAAGAAGAAGTTAATGTCTGCATCTCAGTTGGTAGAATTTTTGAATTTAACTCAGAGAGATCCAAGGTTGAATGAAATATTACATCCGTATGCGAATGTAGCAAGGGCAAAAGACATAATCGCCCAATATGAAATAAACAAAAACAATGTCAATAAGGGTCAATTGAGTTTTGAAGGTTTTCTGAGGTACATGATGAGTGAAGACAATCCTATAGTTGCTCCTTCTAAAGTTGAACTTTGTGATGATATGGATCAACCTCTCGCACATTATTTTATCAATTCTTCGCATAATACCTATTTGACTGGTACGTTTTAATACTTTTAAAACTGTTGTTATTAAAATAACGCGTAAAAATTGCAGGTCATCAGTTAACGGGGAAGTCGTCGGTTGAAATTTATCGCCAGTGTCTTTTGGCTGGTTGTCGTTGTGTCGAACTAGATTTTTGGAATGGTGGGAGGACGGAAGAGCCTGTCATTGTTCACGGATATACATTTGTACCTGAAATCCCAGCTAAAGACGTGATCGAAGCAATAGCGGAGTCTGCGTTCAAGACATCCGATTATCCAGTCATACTTTCTTTTGAGAACCACTGCAACCCGAGGCAACAAGCGAAAATAGCGCAGTACTGCAGGGACATTTTCGGTGATATGCTTTTAGATTCACCTTTAGATTCTCACAAGGTAATAAACTTCTATTATTATTTACTGATTTTAATCCGATTTTGATCAAATATTTTAAAACTTATTAGCTTGAGGCGGGAGTTCCACTTCCTCCGCCTTCTTTGCTGAAGCGTAAGATAATCATTAAAAATAAGAAAAAGCACCATCACAACAAAGTATTAGAAAGGGGGACAACCGGAGAAATTGAAGTAGTTGCGACGGGAAATGGCGATGTCCCTCATGCAGCTCCTGTCAGGCAGAGCAGTAAAGAAAGCGCAGATGAAAAACCTGAAGAAAAAAACGATGAAGCCACTGATGAAAATGGTAAAACTTTTATACACTAAATTATATTATTCAAGATATTTGGTTGCATTATTCTATTTTTAGTTCCAGCTGAGGATGATTTAGAAAGCTCAAGTGGGGATGAGGATGAAAAACCATTGGAGAAAGATGATAAAGTGGCCTCTGCCAAGGAAACTGAAGCGGGAGCTGAAATTTCTGCCCTTGTTAATTACGTTCAACCTGTTCATTTTGTTTCATTTGAAATAACAGAAAGTATATAGTCCTCTTCTATCCTTAATTATTTTTCAATAAAATATATTTATTTAATTTTAATTTTTTTAAAAGAAAAAAATAGGTTTTATGAAATGAGTTCTTTTGATGAAAAACAAGCTACAATGCTTTTAAAAGAAAGCCCGATAGAATTTGTAAAATACAACAAACAACAACTAAGCCGAGTTTATCCGGCTGGGACAAGGTTCGATTCTTCAAATTTCATGCCTCAAGTATTTTGGAATGCTGGTTGTCAACTGGTCGCTCTAAATTATCAAACTCTCGGTCAGTGATTTGATTAATTCAAAATATATTTAAAATTTGTCAATTGAATTCTATTTTTTTTTTTTTTTAATAATTTATTTGTAGATCTTGCAATGCAATTAAATTTGGGTATTTTTGAATACAACCAAAGATGTGGATACCTCTTGAAACCTGAATTTATGAGACGTCAAGATCGTAGGCAAGTGCTTGAATTTTTTATTTTTTTAAAAGGATATTTACATTACGAGGTTATAGAAAACCTCGGGGTGTCGGTATTAAAAAAAAAGTTTGTAAGTTTGTTGGATTCAAATGCAGGTCTGCTGCGGTGATGAGCATCTATCAACGCTTTAACCATTGCAATGGGGTATCAGTGGCTTCATTGGTTTAAATGGTTTAGGCGTTGACAAGGTGCTCATCACTGTAGGTGAAGATCCCAGGTTCGAATCCAGTAGCCCTGCATTCGAACATGACATATTTACAATTTTTTTTTTCTTTTTCAAAAACACCAGCACCTCAAGGGTTCACCTTGCTACCCTGATACCCTTAATCATTCATAAAAACTATGTTAATGATAAAAAAATGTTACAATTTATTCATATTCTAAGGTTTGATCCATTTGCTGAATCAACCGTTGACGGAATTATTGCCGGCACCGTCTCAATCAATGTCATATCCGGCCAGTTTTTAACGGATAAAAGATGCGGAACGTACGTAGAGGTCGATATGTACGGGCTTCCGGCTGACACGGTCAGGAAAAAGTTCAGGACCAAAATTGTTCCAAATAACGGGATTAATCCCGTGTACGATGAGGAACCTTTTGTCTTCAAGAAGGTACGTTTGGTAAAACCTAAGTTTAACGAATAAATCAACTATTTAAAAAAAAATTTATAGGTGGTGCTTCCAGAATTGGCTTGCATTAGAATAACAGCTTATGAGGAAGGAGGAAAATTCATTGGACACAGAGTTCTCCCTGTTATAGGACTTTGTCCTGGGTAAATATTAAAATATTACTATTTTAATTTTTAATATATGACCAGGTATAACAAAAACGGAGGAATGATTAAATTTTTTACCATCTTTCATTTTGGCTTAAAAATACGTACACAATTAATTAAGGCTTTTAGTTGAGATAAAAAAGTGAATGGCACGAGCGGGATTCGAACCCACGATCTTCGGCTAGATACGCCGCTGCTCTACCACTTGAGCTCGATCCACTCGGACATCAACTTCCTACCTCAACCCCACCTTTTGAGTTTTCCCTCTCCTTTTTGCCATTTTTTTTATATCTCAACTAAAAACCTTAATTAATTGTAATGTATTAATTGGTCAAGCAGACCACGAAATTAGTGAATTTAATGAATACCTACACAATTTAATTTTTATATTCTGGCATTAGCAAAAATAAGATGGGTACGTGCTAATACAATAATTCTAATGCAACTAGATTAGGTTTTTTAATATATAAAATGAACTTGAATATTTTCAGTATCTAAAACATTTTTGATTAAAAATAATCATGCATTTTTTTTTTTTTTTTTTTCAATTTTGGTAATTTAACATGTTGAACGCAGAAGCCTGAGGCACTGATAAACCTCTGGATAGCATTTTTATTTTATTTTTATATATTTATTATTTTTTATTTGATATATATGTTTTTTTTTTTTCTTAAATGACCTTAATAATAATGTGTGTGTGTATTTAAGCAAAAGGTCTGGTGAATATGAATATAATTAATTTTAGTATCCTAAGTCCTTAGGTTTCCACAGGTTTGGCAACATATGGCCGGCCTCGTGTTACCATGAAGAAAAATTGGCCCCTTACGGTTTAATAATGCTGGACAAAGACGTTGCAGTTTCCCGTGCATATTTCTCTGCTGTGATAGTTTCACCATAATTCAGGAAATTATAATTACACTGTCAAACAGTCACCATAACATTTTTTGGGTACATGTTTGGTTTCGGGTTTTCGGTTTGGAGCGCACTTCGCCCAAGTTTAATTCGTACAATTTCCATAGATTTTCATAAAAATTTGATGAAAATCTAGCTTGGACAGATTTAATTTTGCAGGCCCTCACTCTTATAAAATTCAATATAAACTACAATGTTTGCATAAAAGATAACAGTTTTATTTATTATAATTCATAAATTAGATTTGAGGATTTAGCTTTGTTTACATTACATGACAAGCAACTGCAAAAATAAAACAAATTTTCAAAACATGAATCAATTTTGTACCAAACCAAAAAATTTCTTCTTGTCTACGTCATCAGACTTTTACAAAAATGGGCTATTTCTGCTACCAGAATGTTAGCACTTTGTTATAGAAAATGAAGGAAATTATGTTTTGGATTAAAAAAAATTACATTTATGTTTGGAAAGGTTGATTTTTTTATTGAAAGAAAAAAAAATCAGCACACAAGCTTCTGGTTTGAATGTTTGATTAAATACTGCATTAATTTTTTTGTTTTTCCTAGATATTGGGTTTGTTTAAGGAACGTATTAGTCAGATTATGTTGAAGGTTTATGTTAGAATAGATTGGATGGATTACCCTTTAAATAATGCCTTATGATATATACTAAAAATTAATAACCAGCAAAATAACAAAAAATGTGGTCTAAATAAAATAAGTCACTTGATGAAAGAATGTAAGAAATACTAAATAACAGAAAAATTAATACTCCACCATCTAGAGTATTATATTATAAAGTTTATAATAACTAATTAATTTTAGTTATCGCCATGTAACGTTGAGAACAGAATGTGGACAACCTTTACAACTCGCGACTCTCTTCCTCCATGTCGTGGTCAAAGATTACGTACCAGAAGGCTTCTCAGACTTTGCCGAAGCTCTTGCCAATCCGATTAAATACCAGAGCGAGCTAGACAAGAGGGCCCAACAGCTTGCTGTACTCACAGACTTAGAAGAATCTCAGGATGTTTGGCCCAGTACAGAACAGGAGGAGGTAAAAATTGATTTTACCCAGATTTTAGAGTTTATTCCATGATTGATACACAGGGGGGAAATCAGAGTGATGAAGGTGGCCCTCCACCGGCTCCGAGGCTCAAACGAATAGGATCAATGTGCCCTGAAATGTCAGGAGGAGCTACCGGGCACAATCCTGCTCACCGAGCATCCATCGCGGTAGCACCACTCCCAACTACAATGGAAGAGCCTCAACCTGTAACTTCGCCAGAAGTAATACACGTCAGCCCACCAAGAGTCACCACCCAAACAACCACTAATTGTAAATTACATATATATTTCTATTTATATTTTTTTAAATGTAAAATAATTAATTTTTTATTTAGTTCTTGAAGATATGATCGCTGATCCTGTAGAGTCTTTCTTGGAAAGCAAATCTGTTAAAGAAAAACGACTCGAATTAGAGAAAAAACTTGAAGCGTTGCGGAAAAAACAAGACAAGGTGATTTTTTTAACCCAAATTTACTTTAATTTGGCAGAAATACTAAAAAAATTATTCTTTATTCAGGAAAGGATGCGCTTGGCTTCGGCGGATTCAGATAAGCCCAGGACTAAGTTTTATATGAGCAATAAATTGGTGAAACGGCTCTCTAGCAAAAACATGTGAGCTCCAGTTCAGTTCATAGAAAAGGGCTAGGTTCACATAAACACTTGCTTGTTTGTTCAAGCATTCACAAATGCAATATTTTAAGCATGTTAAAAACATCAAATGTATAATAATCGTGTGAACCAGCCTTTCAAAGAGGTTGAGTAGAAAAATGAAAATCAAACATGAAGGATTATTTTGTTAGTTTTATTTTTTATACATTTTTTGTAAATAATTTGCTTTTTTGTACAGTCATGCTTGATCTTTCTAATAATTCTTTACACAATTCTTTACTTTATATTTCTTTTGAACAACTGTAAGAATGCTGGTTTTTCTCTTTTTTTTGGGGGGGGAGAGGAGAATTTTTTAAATTGTAGTATATTAATAAAAAAATTATATACTTGTAAATAACATATAATGCTTACAAGGAGTATTTTGTTTGTCTTATCTAAAAATATATGCTGCACGTCTTGTTTCTATCTTAATTTTTACTTATTCACATTAGCTAATTTGTTTATATTTACATCACGCCTATTTCATGGATGTCCTTTTGGTAGGTATTACGTTTTTGGTTTGTTTTTTAATCTCTTTTTTCCACTTTTTGACAGCATGTTGTCGAAATTGTTGCTTTGTGTAAAATTCAATTTTTCGCAAAATATTTTTTTCTTATTTATGAATGTTAATAACTGTTTGGTGTATCAAAAGTAATTAAATTTATTTTCAAGGGTTTGTCTACACATGCAAAATAATAAACCAAAAATTGTTTGAACTGTTTAAAAAGGACTATCATTAAAAAAGTTTAAGGTAGTTTTTATTTAGGAATAAATATCAATTTATTTCAATATTTGTTTAAACTGTAAAATTACAATAACCAATAGGTCCAAAACAAATATCTAGTTTTTATAAATTATGCCTTATTTCTGCTCGTTGAACTGATTTGGTTAGGTATTATTGTTTTAGGGATACTAGCGGTACACCTGAAGGAGACGGTGAGGGTGGCGGTGACGGTGAAGTCGTGAATCGAGGGATACCACGAAGCCATTCGGAAAGGATGCTCGCAATTTTCCGTGATCACATCACTCAAGAGCGAGAGCTTGTTGAAAAGTATCACGAGCAGGTAGACAAGACGCGTTACTGGCTTTAATTTTGAAATTTGTTTTAAACCAGTACAAACCCTATTTAGGTTTTTGCCAATGCACAAAAAGTCATGCAGGCATCACAGTCACAACAGCTGAAAATGCTCCACGTCCTCCTCGAACGAGAAACAAGTGATGTCATGCGAAGGCTGCAGAACTCGAGGAAGCAAGAAGTAAAAGCTCTGGCTAAGCAACACCGAGACAGAGATGAACTCGTCAGGTAATTCAACTTAAATATTAAGGGGGTCAACCAATTTTGGTGTTAAAAAATACTTTTGTAAATTTATTTTATTAAACTAGAATTTTTTCTGAATAGTTTGATGTAAAGGATTTATAATTTTAGGCATGTAAAGTAATGTTTGAACCCATCAAAGATGAATATAGAGATGCCAGAGGGCGTTGGGTGTGCGGAGGGAGAAATTAAAAACTGTCACTCCCTCCCACCGCGAGTGTGTTCACTGCAGAACTAAACGCCATATCCCTCACACAGAATATCATAAAAAGTAAATCTCATAAATCTTTTTTATTTTGTACTGACTCGCTCAGTGCAGTCCAGAATATCAAGAGAATAGCCTCAGTAGGACCCAGTAGTAATAAAATAAAAAATAAATAAATAAAAGAACAGTTAAAAAGATTGGGACAATGGAGGAAGGTCCAAATTAGCTGGGAATGAAAAAGCAGACAGGTGGCCAAAGAGGCCCCACTACGCTTCCCATTTTACTTTTTTTTTAAATAATTTTGATCAAGAAATTTTTTTAAAAATTAAAGTTGTTTTCCTGCATCATTTGGTGTAAAGGATTTGTAATTTTGAACACCAGTAGTGTGAATTTTTTTATTTTGACCAAAAATTGAATTTTTTAAATTAATTTAAAAAAAGTTAAATTTGATGTTATTCTGCATTGTTTGATGTAAAAGATTTGCTATTTTGTGCAACAGAAGTGCTATTTTTTTTTTTAATTTTGACCAGAAATTTTGTTTAAAAAAAATTAAATTAGATGTTATTCTGCTTCATTTATGTAAAAGATTTGCAATTGTGTGCACTAGAAGTGCTTTTTTTAATTTTTACATAAAATTTAATTTTAAAAATTAAATTAGATGTTATCCTGCATCGTTTGATGTAAAAGATGGGCAATTTTGTGCACCTGAAGTGCTATTTTTTAATTTTGATCAAAAAATTTATTAATTTAAATGAAATTAGATGTTATCCTGCATCGTTTGATGTAAAAGATTGGCATTTTTGGCATCAGAAGTGCTATTTTTTTTTTTTTTTTTTAAATTAAATTAGATGTTATTTCATAAAATCAATGTTATGATTTGATGCCAAATATTTGCAATTTTGACCACCAGAAATGCCAATTTGTTTTTAAATTTTGATGGAAATTTTATTTTGTTCACTAAATCTTTTAAATTGAATTGTTTGATGTTTTTGTGCATAGTTTGGTGTAAAAGATTTACAATTTTGAGCATCGAAAGTAAGAGCTCAATTTATAAATTAAAAGGTCTACACGATCAGAATGGTATCTATGAGTGGATAAATCCCATCGTATTGTGGAATCTGCCATCAGCATATCGACTGAGTGGCACCAACAAAATGAAACATGACAAAAAGCGAGGTCAAAAATTTGAAAATCAAACGTAAACTTAAAAAAACAAACCTCTGGTGAAAGCTACTTTTTACTTTCATGTTCCTCTTTGTTGGTTTCTGTACAATATTTTGAACTGATTAATTTTTTAAATTTGACATGACAAAAAAAGAAAAGAAAAAGGCTTTAGCGAGTACTTTGGTTAGATATAAAATTCAGACCCTGAGAGAGAAAAAAATTGAATGATGATATTTAGCAGCAGTTTTTTTACAAAATAATAATAAAAAAGGTAATGTAAAAAAAAAAAAAATACAAAAAATGCTTTGAAACATCAAATTAAATCAAATCTGCTTATTTGAATACTATTTGAAACAAAATAATGCCAAGTAAATAATTTGTAATAAATTCAGGCAATTGTTTTGAAATGCATTTTCAGACAGATTATTAATGCCGAATAATTTTTAAAATAACTATTTGCATTAATACTTATATCAAAATGACGACAAAAAAAGCTGTCATTAGTTGAATTAGTAGAGTACTACTTACAAAGATAGTAAAGCAAGAATGGAAGGATTAGGAAAAGTAATCTGAAAAATGATTGACCATCGGTAGAACTAATTAATTAAATTTTATGTACAAAGGATGAAGAGAGAAGTCGCTAGTGCCATGGTAGAAAAAGGCGTACACGAAAGGGTAAGGCTGACACAGATATATGAGAAAAAACGAGAAGAATTGGAAAGGCAGCACAATGAAGTTAAGAATCAGCTAACTAACGAGAAGGCCAAAGTAATGTTATTATATTTTTAAAAAAACAATTGAAATTTTACAAAAACATGGAATATTTTCAGGCCAAAAATGCTTTAATTAAAGAACTTGAAAAGAAAAGTCAGCGAATAGAGCAAGAAATTGAATTAGAACCACGATCGAGCGAACGCTGATGTGAGCTTTGTTATTCCAAAGGAATTTCCATGCTAGTCATTTCTCCAAATGAGGTGAGTGAAATTTGAAATTGTGACGTGATATCAATTTTAGATTTTTTTTTTCCCCAGAGGAAAAAGCTTTTAGTAAATAAAAATAATATTGAGAATAGTATCGATTGTTTCAGCTGCTGAAGTTTATTAAAGGGAAATGCTCTATTAACATCCCAAAAATAAAGGCATTCGCAAATTCTCTTAGGGGTTAAGTGTCTTTTAAGAGAAGATATTTAGGAAACAAGGTAGTCTACACTAGGGCTTTAGGCCTTAAAAAAAATCTTCGTGTTTTGTCAAATAGATGCCCCACCTGTCGGTAGGTCTTTCCGTGCCTCAATAAAATACAGCATTCTGTGAAAATCGTACCCAAAAGACGATATATTTTGATTTCCCGTTGAGAATAAGTTTTTTTTTCTCATTGTCTACTTTCCTGTGGTAAAATTTTGTTGTCGTAACTTATTGAACTTAAAAAAAAAGTATTTATTTACGAGGGTTTTCTCGCTTGTGTAAATATGCTCTATTGCCTTTGTCAAACTTTTTTTGTGATAAAAATTATAAAAGCAATGGAGTTTTAAAATCTAAGGTTGTAATTTTTTTAAATAAAGTTCAATAAGTTGTGTCAATTTTTTTTAGATTATTTTAATTTAAGTCGCAGGATTAAATAATGTGATCCCTTTATTAATCTTTTGTGATATAGGTCTTATATAAAAGTATATATTATATGAATCATAATTCTAAAAGAGAATATATGTTAATGAATCTAGTCTGGTTACGATCTTGGATAGAGAATATTGTTGTTTTTGTAGTTTCTTATTGTTAATGAAAAGCTCTTGCTTTTTAAACAGGGTCGATTCATACTTTAAACCATTGCAAGGTCTATCGATGTCAATTTGAATCTATTGACCAATTATCCGTTTTGATGATTTCACAATATACTTGGAAGATATTTTCATCGCGTTTCTTTTTAGTGTAACGCTTAGAGATTAATTTATCCGACCATCAGTGGTAAAAAGTCTGAATCGGACTTAAAAATGTTGTGTACATTAATGGCTGTTGCGAGTCATGTGGTAGTAGTTAGTAAATGAGAAAAAAGTTTTCTTTTATGTGTATTATAATAAAATTATATAATAAAAAAAAATTAAATATAATTTTATCAGAAAACAATGTGACAATCAGTTTTCGTAGATATATTGCACAGGCTGTGGATATAAATGCGATTGATAATGAAGTTTAATAATTCATTTTCAACATTTTACGTAATGACATATTACTTTTATGTTAATGTTGTTGCAAGGAGGAGTGAATCTCGTTTTAAACCGTATTTGCCTGCAAAAAAATGATCTGACTTGCAAGTTGTATCCCCATTTTAGAATTTTAAATTTTGCATTAAATAATTATAAATTAATATATAATATAAGAGTCACTCATTTTTCTGTAACAATATTTCAACTTAATGTTATTAAAGGTTAGTGAATAAAAACAAGTGATGTTTTATTTAGTTTACCATAGTTAAATGGTTGTTGATTATTTATATAAAATTGTTACTCAGGTTGTTATATGATGACTATCTTCCATAGCCTTTAAGATAATTGTAAAATCTAGATTTAGAATAAGAATGACATGGAATGTATAACACCATCCAGGGTTTGGTTTTAGACTCGGCGCATTAAAAGCAACTAATGAAACTTAAAAAAAAATCTCACTAATTGTAAGTAAAGTAAATCATCTAGGAAAGGGGTTGGTCCAACAACTCATCGGGTTTTGCAGTCGAGGGGTCAAACCGCTTTATAATACATTTTATCGTAGCTTTTAAGCCAGGATTCAAACCCAGAAACGCTGGCAAATTCAAATCGGGCACCTTAGCTATTCGGCCACTGCCTTAATTTCTTTAACACCAAAAACACTTTTTGTTTTAAATTAGCTAAACACAATTTTTTTCTTTTTCCCCTGCTCTTTGTCACCAACCCCTGGGTGAACCGTTAATTAACTGATCATCACATATGGTACAAATTGATTTAAGCCAAACTTATAAATATTTGCATGTTTCCTTGATATTTTCCAGTTGTTATAAAGTTGGATTAATTGTTGATTATTTTTTACGAAATGTGGTGTCCTTTATAAAAATCAATGTTGAAACAGGCCGAAAAAAAATCCATCCTTTATAAATGACATAAAATAAACGCACTAAGATTCGTTTTATATTTAATATGACGTATTTAAAGACTAAACTATGGTTGTGTTTTATCCTATAATTTTGATTCAAGTCAAATCGCTTGTCGTGTGGGCGTTTTTCAATTTTGACCAAGTCTTTAATTTTATTTTGAGGGTGAAGTTCAATCATTCCGCAAATTATTTATTTGAAAACTCAACCCTGTTTCAATCTTGTTTTTTAAAAATTCTATTTATTGGTTTTTCCAAAATGTTAAAAAAAAGGATAAATTTAAAGCAAAAGGATATGTAAATTTTAAGAAAAGCACTGTAAATAATGTGTATATAACAACTTTTTGATTAATAAACCCTGAGGATGTCGGTTTCATATTTTCATATTTAAATTAGAAATTTGTTAGAAACTGACGTCCTTTATTAAATTTTAACATAATGAAAAACTTTAAGATTCGATAAATTGGTTTTCTATTTAAAAATAAATAAATAAATAAAAATTTAAAAAAATTTAAAAATTAAAAAAACCTTTTTAATACAATTGAAACTTATTGAGTCACATTATCTCAAAAATCTTTATGGCAAATTATCTTCCATAACTGTAAATAATTAATAAATAATTTATTAGTACAGACACACTCTTTGCAAAGTACATTTTCTGTAAAACTTAAAAACTGAAAATAATCGTACAATCAGGGGAAAAAAATGTCTTGTTTATGCGAACTATTCATTAAAATAAATAGATCTATTTCTGAGTAGATCGAAATAGTGCCATATTGAAATGAAATTCTAATACAATTTATTTCTAAAATATTGGCAAATTTTTTTTAAATGTGTGTCCAGTAGTTTTAACGACGAGTAATTCATGAAAATAGCCACGATTAAATTTATTCTAAGGCGAATCAGAATTAAATGAGCATAATATAATTGAAAAAAAGTTTATGAAGTACTATCCATTATGTCTGTTATAATAATAAAAATAAAATACAAATTATTTCAAACCTAGTACAGTTAAAAGTGAATTTACTTAGTGAAATATTTTGTGTGTATTCTAATTGAAGTATTGTGTGTTTATACCGATCTAAAAAAATAAAAAATAAAATAGATTCATATAGGCATGCTTAATTATTTGCAAATAATTAAAAATTTTACTATAGAGCATTATCATGAGAAGTAGATTATTATGTACTTGACGTTATTACATTATTCAAGTACCCAAGTCCACTGATTAACCTGAAATATATATAAGCTAATTGTTTGTTTTTTTATATTAAAAGTGTTTCCAGTTTTGCATAGAACTTAGTATGTAATACCGATCGCGAGTTGTACAATTTTCCGATGTGGACTTAAGTAATGACGCAGATACCCAAAAATGTTATGCGAATATTAGTCTATAGTGGTGTAAATTTATTTGTGATTTTGAAGTTTTGTTTGTTGATAATTGTTATAATGTTTGTTAAACATGTGTAAAAAAAATACAAAAAAAAAAATCATCGGCCTATATTAAATGCATTTTTGACAAACTTATTTAGTAAAATTGTCAAACATTCATTTGTAACGTAAATTCATGAAGACGAGTATACTTAAAATATTCATCTTTGAAAAAATCCTTTGTTTTCTATTATAAAAATACCTTTTATCTTCTATTTATTTATTTTATTATTATTTGTTTTTTTTGATGCTCAAATTTTACTTATTTCAAATGGCCTAAATTGCACAATTAATATAAAACAGTGATTTATTTAGGTGCGTTCGATTTTGTAACAAAGAATAACCGGAAAAGAGCAGATGCAAAGTGTGAAAAATGTTTTTCATCTTTTTATACCAGCATTAAATGTATGTACAATATATTAACAACGAATAGAGTAAATAAAAAAATTAAAAAAACAATCTTGCCAATTTTAATCAAAGCTTATAATTCCAAGGCAGTACTTGAGATTTGTTCTGCAATAGCTCTTATCTACATACATTTAATGTTATTGTTTATATTTTAAAGATTTATTCAAATTTATTTTTGATTTAACGCCTGGGACCACTACTTGTTTTATATTCGCTCTTCACACTCGACACGCAAAATCAAAATTAAAATAGAAATTTTTTAAACTTAATCTATCTTAATTATTATTCTATATTTTAAAAAAATCGATGTACCTGTTAGAGTTTTGTTTTGTTGAGATTAAAAATTCAGTATGAGGTATGTTGTCGACAATATATTTTGGTAAAAGACAGCAATAGGTCTTATTTAAATGAAAATTAAGTAGAAGTGTTTCACTTAATATTTAAGTGGAAGTAGTCGATATTGTGTTTAAAGGGGTAAAAAGTAATTGTTTGGGTTAACGAAGAAGTTTTTTGAGAAAATTTAGAGTATTGTGTGTATGAAGTACCAGCCTATTTTTAGACCCTGTGGTTGTAAAAGACCTCTTGTTTAAAAGAAAATATATATCTTTTAACTATTGTGCTATACCAACTTTATATGAATCACAGAAAATATTAACGATTACCTAATTAAAAAAGTAACCATTTTCCAGCATTATCACTGTGTGTTGTAAGATCAAAATTTTCTTTGTAAAAGGTTTATTTGCACACACTAGTTGTGCACTTTGTAAAATCAAAATAAATATATGAGTACAAATGATTTTTGTTTGTTTTTGTTTTGGTTACCCAAGAAGCTTATTAAGTCCTTCCAATCCCAAATGCACAACCTTCTTGGGTGGGGGGGTGCCAGGATTTTCTTCTGTAAAAGGCCCGTTATGAAACTTTTTAAAAATAAGTTGTACTGGGTATTCCTCGTGGTCCCCCAAAAATAAATTAAAATATGAGGCGTGGGTCAATAAAAGCCTCAAATTGACGTAAGGCTAAAAAGAGCCTTAAAAAAACTGAAGGGAGGAAAAAGGAAAAGCGCTGTACCCAGAGGCCCATAGAAACTCAGTTTGAGGGATTAAGCCATTAAGGCTTCCCGTTACCGTATATATAGGATGCTGGATCACGGAGTCAGATGTGCCAGCTTGGTTAGGGACCAAAAGCCAAATAAGAAAATTACAGTTGGATCCTAAAACTGAGGGGACAATTGCTAAACCTACGGTATAAGCCGTATGATCTCCTCAGCCAACAGGAGTGTGAGTTATGCAATTACCAGGTAAAGGAAGACATATACCATTTTGTCGCGGAATCCCCATTCTGTCCCCCTATTGTTTATCTGTGTTCGGCGAAAGAACCGTATCAATGGACAGATGCATCAGATTGCTCAACGGACCAGATTGGACAAACTTGGTAAATTATGCTAAAGTGGAGCCTATCGAAGGCTAATAGTAAACGAATTTAATTAGTAATTAACTTTTCTTTTCCTCTTTTACTGCGTCTCTTTGCCCCTGCTCTTTCCCTTGATATTTGGTGTTTCTGTTTCTCCGGTCTCAGTTTTGTGTCCTTTTGATTTAGTATTTTGTTATAGATATTACACTTAGCATAGATTTAGTTTAATGCATTTGTACGTTTATTTTACAGGATTAGTAAATAATTAATTCAAGCTCCGGCAGACAGTTACCTTGCTGTATTAAGTTTATTTTCTTGTGTGAATTATATGTAATTTTTTTTTTCTTCTTGTGTGCAATAAACATTATTATTATTAAAGGTACAAGGAAGTCTCAAGGCCATCGGGTAGAGAGGGTTCGAGCAGTAGAATCAGGATCGAGAGGATAGTATGAAACTTTTGATGCTGGGAATGAATCAGTTCATTGACAAAAGGAATGTTGAGGTTGTGGATGGTGAGATTAGTCATGAAATTGGAGTATTTTGTCTGATGACTTTTGATTGGAAGGATAGGATGCATTGCATGTTGGATTCCATATGTCGCAGTAGGTAAGTTTAGTGTTGAATGTCAAGACACAAAGGAAGGATTAGATCATCCAGGTTTGTTGCGATGATGGTAATAGGGTGTATAGGAAAGTCAGCAGTGTAAATGATGGAAATGATTGAACCAAGAATGCTCCCTTGTAGGATGCTGGCTTGAATCGGTCTGATTTATGAGAACACATTGCCACACCTCTCTTTAAAGCAGCAGTCCGTAAGATTCTTCCATGATAAAGCAATATGCAGGCGATATAACAAATATAAAAATCTAGTTGCCATATTAAAAATTACGGCTTAAATCATAATTAATTTACAAGTTAAGCTTCCAAATGAAAAAAAGATTATTTTTTTCTTGTATTATTTCTCCCATTTTACTACCTCTTTCTCTCTCACTCACTTCACACTTACTATCTCTCTCATTATTATCATCCTCACTTTCTCCCATTTACTATGTCTCTCTTTCACTTTTAGTCAGTCACCTTCATACTCTTATTCTCTCACTCTTTTAGTCACTCATTTTCATGCCCTCACTATCTCTCACTCTCACTTTCTCCTATTTACTACATCTTTCTCACTATAGTCACTTGTTTTTATGCTTTTACTATCTCTCACTCACTTTTTCTCATTATTACTATATCTTTCTCTCTCACTTTCACAATCTTACTATCTCTCTCACTTTTTCTCATTTACTATATCTCTCACTTTTAGTCCCTCATTTTCATCCTCTTACTATCTCTCTCACTCATTATTATCTTCCTCACTCAATCACTTTTCTCATTTACTACGTCTTTCTCTCTCATTTTCACAATCATACTATCTCTCTAATTTTTTCTCATTTACTGTCTCATTTTTAGTCCCCCATTTTCATGCTCTTACTATCTCACTCACTCATTATTATCTTCCTCACTCAATCACTTTTTCTCATTTACTATATCTCTCACTTTTAGTCACTCACTTTCACGATCTTACTATCTCTCACATTTTTCCTCATTTACTGTCTCACTTTTAGTCCATCATTTTCATGCTCTTACTATCTCACTCACTCATTATCTCTCATTCACTCACTCTCTTTTTTATTTTTCTCTCTTAAACTTCCCACATTCACTTTCTCTCACCCCCAATCTCGCTTCACCCCATGTTTCTTTTAAAATTTTAAATCCTTGAAATTTATCCCAATTCGAATTAATGTTATGTCCAGAGTATCAAAGTTCAGATTAGGGAGTTTTTATTTTTATTTTCATACCATAAATATTAGATTTATAAAAAATATTGCTTGCATGGGTGAGTGGTATTAAAAATTAGGCAAAAAGTACACTTCTTACCTTGTTCAGTATTTCACATTTTTATTTCTTTTGGCTTTTCTGCTTCAGTATGGAGTTACATTCACATTAAAATTGGGGTAGTACAATTATTTTTTTATCTATTAATTTATTTACTGAACGAGATCGAAAATTACTAGGGAAAAGTGTTAACTTTTGAAAGAACATATCAACCAGAAGGTTTAAGTGTGCAAATAAAGATAAAAAGATTACAGCACGGTTTTCAAGATTAATGTCGAGGAAGAAAGAACAAAAAACAATCTTGCACTGATAATGTATGTACTGAAAAAAATTTCTATTTACATAATTTAAAAAAAAATATTTTACACCTTGAACCAAATAAAGACCAACATTTATACAAATGCACATTTATAAATTACTTTATAAAAACAGTTTTTTTAATCAATAATTTGTTTCAATCGTCGTCATCTAGCCTTCTCCTTATGTTCATCCTTCCTGGATTCGGCTTGCGCTTTTTAAAACTCGAAGGACCTCCTTCATCTTCCAAAGAAGTGACTTGCTTCTCTTTTATTTTAATTTTGGGCTCGTACACCGGAGGAACATTGATCTCAACGAATTCTTGCTTTGGTACCTGCAAGTCTACAACTTTTTGCTCGCTAAAAGAAAAAATTTTTTTTTAATCTATAAAATTTATAAATTATATAAAAACTTACACTTGTTTAACTACAGTCCATTTCCCGTACGGCTCAGGTTTAGGATCTGGCCCTAATATAGGACCTGAAATCTCGCATTTCGGAGGTTCGGGTTCTTCTTCTTTGACGACGCTGACCGCTTTCCTTATTTCCTCTCTCATTCTCCAAGACCTGATTTCTGCCTCGTCTTCGACTGTGTCTATGAATCTCTCTCTCTCCTCGTCTGCTTTCTGCATGTCAATTTCTTGCCTGACCAAAGGTGCCTCTGCCAGCATCTTTTGTTCATCGAGAGAAATAAATTCCTCAGGTTTAATCCACGATGATTCTTTAAAACAAAATAACTTATAGTACAATAATAATTTATTATTAAACATTAAATTAATTACGTTTTGTTTCACTGTTCCAGTAATATAGATGTCCTTGTGCAGACATTGTTTCAAACCAGACTCTTTTCTTTTCTTTTACAACTGCAACCTTTTTTTTGTTCTTTTTGTCTTTTTTCTTTCCCTCTTGTTGTTGTTGTTGTGGTTGTTGGTGCTGTTGCTGCTGCTGTTGTTGAAGCAGCTGTAGCTGTTGATTAGACGGAAACAGATTCAAGTTGCGCTTAGGGCCTGGCTGTTCTAAAGTCATGCACAACCTGGTAAGATCGTCCCCTCTCGATTCGATCTGATTTTTGAACTCTTGTGAACTATAGTCAGGGTTTGACGCGATATCTTTCATGTAAGCTCGCATCGCAGCCTTAAAAAAAAAGTAAAAATCAGAAATTTTTAAATTAATTCATTAAAACAGCGATAAAGTTGATTCAAGAAACTTGAATTATTCTTAAAGATAGATTTAAAAAAAAAAATTACCGCTTCCATTTTCTTCATTTCCATATCGAGCTTCGCCGCTTCCTTTTGCTTCTTGGCACTCCTTCTCGATATGTCCGATAGCCTCTTTGAGACATTATCTTTGTGTCTTTTACCATTTTCGTGAAACTGTACGCTCTGTAGTGGAAAAAAATGGTTTAAAAAAATATAGCTTTAGTTGAAAAATCATTGCATCAGTGGATAAAACTTACAGGTTTGTTGTCAGCGATCCAACATTTACAAAAATCGCAGTATTTCCTATCTTGTGATTTCCAATAGTCAGCCCTAAGAATCCATACCAAGAAAAATGAAAAAAAAATCTAGTATACTACATTATCCCATATAAAAATATATTAATATAAAACAAAATATTTCATTTAATTAGCAATTTTGACTAATTTTTATTAATGTGTACATAAAAATTAGATTTTAAGTCAATATATAAAACAAATAAAAAATAATTATATAATAAAACATATACGGCTGCATTTTTATCCACTTGCTTATTTTTTGTTTGTTTTGTACCTGTCTAAATTTGCTCACATTTTACCATATTTATGACAAGGAATTTTTTCCATAGAAAAATGTATACATTTAATAAAAACAATTCATATGTATACATATTTGTTCCAAATGAAACAATAGTTTGAAAGAAAAATTTAAATAAAAAATAGTTGAATTTTGAAATTTCTTGACCGAGTTTGAGCTTCAGGGGTGAACAGCTAGGTCGTTTCAGCCTCCAACACATGCAGTTCCTAGATCCAAACCCATTCACTCTTAAATACATTCTTTCCTATTTTCATATCATTCACTCAATATTATTCCATCACCTTTTACACCTAAAACTAACCTTATTGGGGGTTGATGGGATCACATTCACGCCAATAAATAAGTTCACTCTCAACAAGCTAGGGACACAAAACTGTCAGCACTATATACAATAAAACAACCCTGTCTCCTCCAAGTATTGGAAGTGTGAATTCAGAAACATGCTCACATATGGAGCCAACATACATGCCATTCTTATGCACTCTATATGGAGCCAAGAAATTGCACCCTTCAATTAGGTGGGTCATAACCTTTGCACGTGGACACATACTGCTTTGGCCAAAAAATAAGATCCATGTGGATGACCATTCTACAAGTCACATCCTCTATCGATAGTGCTCTGGATATGAGAGAGCTTGTCTCTGCCGATCCGGCTCACTGGCGCTGCCACTTTTTTTAAATCATATTTTCAATTGCATTTTTAGCATCAAAGGGCCATGGCTATGTCCGGAGGTTGGGTCATACCTCTCCAACAAGAGCATGAAAGAGGAGAGGTCATATATTTTTTTTAAATTACATTTATTTGGTATTTACAACTACAAGTGATGTATTAAGTAAATATGTTCGTATATGTTGAATTATCATTTGAGGCTCTTGTAGGAGAAGTTGCCTAGTGGTAACACTTCTTCACACTGATATGTTGTTCAGTCTTCACACAATGAGAAGGTCTCGGGGCCACTTTCGCTTCAATCGTCTTGTAGGATTTTCAGGTAGGGTTGGAAGTGATAAATTTCGTACGAATAGATTACTGTGTGTGTTCAGTGATTGATGAAATTTTTTATATCGGGTTTTGATGATTTCATGTACAAACGGGATGTGTAGGTCTTTATGGATAGTGTAATTTGAAATGTAAAAAGGAGCATTTATAATTTAACGGAGAATTTTAGATTGGATTGATTGGAGACGCTGGGAATTGGAATCCTTGGTTGAGCCCCACACTTCACAACCGTACGCCCGGAGAGGTCTAATCATTGTCTTGTAAATTAAAAGTTTATTTTCAAGGTCTAATTTTGATCATGAGTCGAGTAGTCTTTTTAACAATTTATAACGTCGGTTTGTCTTTTCAGCCTTGTATGAGGATTCCAAGTCAGTCGTTTATCCATGAAAAGTCCAAGATAACGCACAAGGTCAGTGGTAGGCAATGGAATTCCATTTATACTCACCGCAGGACAGACATTTTTACGTAAGGTAAAATTGATCTGTGTGCTTTTTGTTAGGTTTACCTTTATTCTACACTTTGTGAACTATAGTGTTAATTCATTCAGGTGTTGTTGTAAGTATTGAGTGTTAATTGAGGGGTCCGAATTGCGTATAAGAATCGCTGTATCATCAGCGAATGTGTGTGTCAAAATGTTAACGTGTGTAGGAATATCTGCAGTATATATGGAAAATAGAAAAGGGCCAAGTATGCTTCTCTGAGGAACACCCGCCCTTATGCGTACATACTGTGAGAATTCAGTTCCCTGACAGACTCGACAAAATCGATCCATCAGATAAGATCTCAGTACAAGATAGTACGTATGAGGGAGGATGTTCCTCAGTTTCCAAAGCAAGCCTGAGTGCCAGACTCGATCGAAGGCCTGTTCTAAATCAAGAAAGACAGAGGTCATAAACAGCAGTAACCATGCTGAGGGAATTGGTGCAAAAGAGGTAAACAGAACCACTATCATCTCGTATCACATCAAGTGTGTATCAAATCGCATATAATTCTCTACAGTACAGTGGGAGCAATGAAGTGTGATGGTGTAGTACACAGCGCACGCCACACCTTCATCCACACTGGTTTTCTTCGGTCTAAGTTCTTAGAATTTAGCTTACAGTAAAGGTAGATGACGGGGTTTGGTCTGCGAGTTGGTGAACTCACGTTGAACTGGCACACAGATACTACTGGATCTGTCTTCCCCACAAATGAAGACCCCAGTAGTGCCCGTGTGCTGGTTCATAGTAAGGTATGGAGTAGGCGACTTGGTAACATGGGAGATCATCCTGGATGCCCTTTCTAAAGCTGTGCTGAAGCATACTCCCAGGGGTCGTGTTCGGGACTTAAGTCACTTGAAATTCTGCTGTACCGGCATCTAATGCACCCATGAATTCCCCTTATTTCTGTTAAAGCATCTTTTAAAAACAGTATCTTCCTGCTTGTCTGCGATCTATATACATGTAGGCCTTGTGGAGGGGAGGAAAAATCAATGGAAGTTCTCAACTACACCATACCACCCATAACTCCAAACTTGACGTGCAATAAACAACACAGACCTAAAGCTGTGCGAAACTTGTCTTACATTGTGGAGACCTAAACAGGACTGCGAATATTTTGGCACGAGGATGTTTTATGTTGACAGGTTGGCAGTTTGTTAGTGAGCATCAAAGTATTTTGCACTGTTTGTTTCTCTCCATGGAAACGGACTTTTCTCAAGTATGAGAATAAACGAGGAGGAATGTATTTTACTTATCCGAACGTATCACAGCTAAAGAACTCAAAATAAAAAGTAATAAATAAAATAAACTAATAAAACAACTCAACTTTGTTTTCTTGTTTACAGAAAGTATCGCCATGATAGCAAACACTGAAGCAGAACTTTGTGTAGTTATAAACAGCATCTTGTTTCATTTCTAGGTTGAAAAATGTTTATTTCATGTTAATGTTTAACACGAAATAGTGAGATTTTTTCACACAGCAGAAACCTAGCTTAATGATGGAAAATACAGTGAATTTAGTTTTAAGTATTCAATATAGCAAAAACCCATCCCATCATAGCTGCAGATGACACCTGCTTTAATAATTTCATTTGGGCAAAGCAGAGACAAAAACATGCCGAGTTAAATGAAACCAGAGACATCAGCACATATCCTTTGTGAATGTGAAGCACTAGCACTGTTACAGTACAGCCACTTTGGTAATTTTCAATCCAGGAGAAGTGTGCAACGAGGCAAAGAGAAAAGGGGTTGTTTTGAGGGAAAACACACTTCCCAAGGTAATAATAAGTCTTATGTACACATAGAGGTCTATACAGGTCGCAGTACAGTAATAGAATCCTTAATTGACCAACCCTCCCAAAAGAAATTCATTGTGATGATCCAGCTCATTTTTGGTGAGTATAGGTGGCTGCAAAGGTTTAGGCGTTTACACATTGTAAAGTTAAGGTCCCAGTTCAAATTACTATTTGAACCCGACATGCTTGTTTTTTTGTGGATTATTTTCAATTTGAAAAGAGCGAGAGTTGAAATAAAAATGGAGGAGAGGAAGGGTTCAAAAATTCTAGGGGCTAACCACCCGGGGTGTTCCGAGCCGTAGTCCCTCAATACAAGCATTTTTAAATGAATTTGTAAAGAGAGACGTGAACAATCTTTTAATATTTTTTATTCCTCCTTGAACTAACAGAATTTCAGGCTAAAAAGAAAACATCATTGGCTAAGTAATGCTTTACTTTTGCCAACCTTCAAATTCAGAGAGAAGTCAGAGGAAGAAAAAAATTTTTTCAACATCTTGCCATTTTAATAAGAAAATTATCCGGATTGTATCGGCTATTTTATATTTTGAGGGTAAAGGTTTCAACAGGCAACAAGTTAAGCAACAATCAAATTTATTTGCTATTCATTCAAATAGGGTAACAATATTAAATATTTTCTAATAGTCCAACAATAGATTAAATATATGTAACAATGTTATATTTAAGGGTATATCACACATAACAGAGACTATGTAATCTTTATAATGGCACTAAGTTGTTTTTTTTTTGGCACTTATTTTACTATTAAATTTCGTTAAGTTTTCTTAAAAAATAAACATTCCACAGTCAGTCAACTTCGCTGTTTATATTTTCTCAAAATCTCCCAGCCATACAATTAAAGTGGCTATCTAGTGCAATACTGAAATTGATACGATAAGACAAAAGTAGTGTAAATTAGGTAATTGATAAAAAAAAACTGTAAATAATTAACAATACTCAAGATTAATACTGATAGCAATAGTAATCGACTAGCAGATCATGGTCCCGCTATCGTTTAAGTACCAAAATTAAGATACAAACTTAAGTAATCAGTAGAGTAAAGAAAGTTCTTAAAATATAATAAAATTAAGTACTGTCATAGTATTAGTATTACAAGAAAAATACACTAGAAACTGTTTTAATGAAACATTAATTAGTAAAAAAGGCATTCCTGCCCCATAGAAATTGATAGTGAATTTTTTAAAAGAAATATTACATTAATAGAAATTCAATACTGGTAAAGACTAGCATGGCTATTAAATTATTAAATATACATAGGAACATGGTCAATTAGGTACTACAAATCTTCAGCGATAATGGAATTTTTACTAATACTGAACAAAAAAACTAGATAATTGTGAATAACTTCACTGTTCCCATAAGCGACCAAGGCTCAATTAAACAAAACACACTTAAGACAATTTTTTTTACAACTCATTCAACCCAACTTTAATACAATACAGGCAG